TATGCGTACCTTCCGCAAAGTACTCACTAGCGGAACTCGATCAGGCTGTAGCTCTCGCAACAGGGATCATGACAGTGGTTTGCAGCGCGTACGAGGCTTGCAAGTCACACAAACTATCCGAGTGGGAGAAATATGAGATATGGAAGTACCAATGTGATGAGCATATTGAGAAAGGATACCTAGATGCAGCAGAGACGACAATGTGGAAGGATGAGCTGTACAGAATCGAATCAAGAGCAGATGAAGTTCTACGGGCCCCAGAATCTACGCCATTTCTGGGTGCCATTCGACGTTATCGTGAAAAGCAGATTCAAGACACCCTTGTTGCCACCGGCTTCGTTTAGTAATCTAGTATTACCAGGCCATTATCCCATGAAGGCTTAAGACTGTTCATACCCTTTGTGAACTTTCGTGCCATCCCTACTATCGTTACCAATTGAACCTACCGACCTTGACGTGGTCTAATTAGTATGTGCATCGTCTTCGCTCGTGCCGAACTCCAGTCCAAACGGGTGAATTAGTCCACTTAGTACCTGTACAAGTTACTCGCTTTACGACGCTTCTTTCTGGCAGGAGCAGGAGGTGGAGGTCCCCAATCGAGCTCTTCCGCCTTCCTCCTCCTTCCATTGCCCTCCCTTGTCGCGCTCTCCAGAACCATCTTTAGTGTCCTAGACCTCTCTATCAAGCTCTCCAGTCTCGCAGCTTCGTCCCCCACACGACTACCTCCCTGCAGCTGAAGCTTGAACGTGATCAACCCCCGCAGCTCAAGCAAAGGCTTCAGCACCGGCTTCGCATACTCGTGATCATCGTACTTCTCCCCGATGAACGTGACGACGAGATGTTTCAACGCGATCATATCGCACAGAATAGTACGCCATGCGGGATCCCAGTAGCGAAGAAGATCGCCGTCATTACGTGCGCGTCTGCAACTGGGCTCTCTGACACGGAAGGGAACTTTTTGGGTCCATGGCGTCTGCCAATCTCTCTCTGCCTCGCGCAATGAGATACTCAACTTGGTAACGGCGGATAATCGCTGCGGTGGAATGCTGCGCGCAAACCAGTTCAACGTCTCTGGATGGGAGAAATCGAATATGGGGCGCGAGTACAGGAGACGGATGCCTTCTTGATACGCGCGTCTGCACGTTTGCAGCAACGCTAGCTCGATGCGAGACACCTTGGTGTCGTTTCGTAGAGTTTCCGGGGTGAGGTATGTGGCGTTTCTAATGGTTGTGCAGCATTGACAGTCCCAGGGATGGGGATGCCATGGCTCCTCGGGACATCTTTTATGGCCGACGCGCTGGACGCGGCTGATTAGGTGCAGGGTTGAATCGGTGCCAAGAACTAAACCAAAGATCTCTTCTCGAAGCTCCAGGGGCAGTCTGCTTAAGAGCATACAGGATTCTTGTGCGTAGGCGACGCGGCGCGACAGGGCCGTGGCCGACTCGCGATAGAGGCGGGCTCGCTGTCGGGTTACATGCGGGCTCGAAACGTCAGACAAACGACGGCCTCGCGTTCGAGGAGGCGTAGGTTGGGTTTTCTTGAAAACTTTGACTTGCTCTTTCTCGGCTTCAAGGCGCCTCTCGCGCTCCCTTAGCAGCCAAACCTCTCGTCCACAAATTCTCATATCGACAACGTCCTGAGTGGATTCAGAGTCACGTATATTTAGAGCAGTTAGGGATGCTGAGGACTCTGAGAGACGACGTTGCGTCTCGGGGGATGCCCTGGGTTGGCTCGACTCCTCTCCTTCCAAATCTTGCTGTTTATAGGGAGGTAGCGTCACGCTGTTGTAAGGATTAGTGACTAGCTGTGTGCGTCTTTGGTCATCGTCTGTAACTTCGCCTAGGGTTTCTTTGGTCCTTGCTACCAACTCAGCCCGTGCTTGTAGAGGGACCGTGGGCGACTCTGGAGGTTCTGAAAGCTCCAGTCGTGCCCTGGACAGCGGTTCAGGCTGGCTGGCTTCCTCTGCTTCTAGGTCCAGGCGTTTGTAGCGGGGCTCCGACCAAACACTCGGATAGGTCCAATGGAGTCCTGAACTATCTGCTATTTGTCTCCGGGGATTTAGTGGGCCTACGCTTCGTCGGGCTGTCTGTTTGGTCCTAGCCATGGACCGGTTCCTGGATGCTGCTGGATCTCTATTACTCTTCTTGCTATAGGACTAGAATATGGCCCTGGAGCAGGGGGACAGATGTAGGTGTTTCTCTGTACTGCCTTAGCTTGGCTGTGCCTGCTGAATCCTTGGGGCGGGCGCAATCGCGATGATGGACGCGAGTTACTTTCGAGGGTTGCAAAGCGGGGTGTAGGTTGCATGGAAGAGCTAGTGTAGAACAAGGCATATATCGTTGCTGACATAAACACCAACAGCCCCCACACCCCTCCGCTGACAGGGTCTCTTCTCGCTGCCTTGCCAAGCAGTGAGGTCACCTCTGACTCACAAAATACTCTTCTTCTAAGTATACTCTGATGTTTATGAAGTGTTGACTCACGGCTTCGCGATGTCTTACTCCGTGTTCTTCTCTTGAAGCTCAACCGGCGAAACGGGATCGAATTGCTCATGTCTAATCTAACTTCATGCTTGGCCGGGGCCCGAGCTATAAGTCAGGCTCTTGCGCGCCTTCGAAAATTTGACCTCTATCCTCATCAGCCTCATCAGTCATTCGTTTTGTCCCACTCGAGCCCAACTCTACTCTTCCATTCCAGCAGTCACTCTTTCCTGTTTTTCTTCGCTTGTTCCCGATTTTTTTCAGCTCGCATGAATAATTCCAAATCATGGTCAAGCAATCTCAGCATTACCTTTTCGCTTCCTAAACTCTCATTTCCGTGTTTTGGTGATTGTTTGAACCTGAACCGTCATCACGCCTTCCCCACGAACATCATTCGTGCTTTTATGCCTTCTTGGCAGGTATCAGCTTCAATACCGTATTCGACTCGGCTATGATATTTGACGTTGATTACTTCAAGACCAGCCCCGCAACGTTGGTTGCGATGTGCGAAAATTGTTCACCCAGAATGGTTTCTACATGTCCAAGGACTTTGCCAGTAGTATTTTTGTTCCATCATGTCATTCATAGACCTCTCGTACACCGACGGCGGGGTGTGCATGTACACGCAACAAATGTATTATCAAATTCCCCACGTCCTCGAGCACAGCAGCTAACCCCTCATGCAAATTTGGAATCCCTTATCCGTCAATACCGTGAATGTTGAGCTAGAAACACGGACTTGACCTTCGATGCTCGAGCTGTTTACGGGATCATCTCCAATAGTAAAAAAGATAGTTTATGTCCCTGGACGGTGTACCATGTCTATGCGGAGAGCACCTATATGGGCCGGGTGGTTACACAACATGCTTCGCCACAATGGCGGGCTCAGCCCACCTTCAGCACCCAAAACATCGAAACGTCCACGTTTGTTGGCTTTCGCTCCCAACGCCCCGTTTCAATATTCATATCTTACAAATTTCCCGGTCTACGACTACGAGATCTGGCTCATCGCAGCATTTGCCGCTGCATAATACCCATAATTTCGGTCTCCGCGAACTATTGCCTTATATCAAAAACAGGGGGTTTTCGCTACAATATGGCGGCGGCTGAGCAAGTATCCTCGATATACGGCCCTGGTGCATTCTTCGCTTGGATATTCACTATATTGTCCACCGTTATCTCGTGGACATTTGACGAAAGCGGCAGGCTACGGGACACGATTGGATTCGACTTCCTTACAGCTATGCTGCTACCTTGTATTGCATGCATCCATACCATCATTAATATTCACACCATGGGAGACGAATCCTTCGATAATGCCAGCCTACCTGCCAGGCAGTCCTTTCTAGCGTGGTTTGTTGCCTTCGGTTTCGGCCTCTTCAGCATTGCAGCCAACAACAGGAGCACGAAACGACAAATATGCAGCGGTTTTGTAGGCATCATTTGTTTCGAAATCTTCTTTTACACTTATCAGAATGAAAAGCCTCTGACACAAGGCGACAAGATGTTGCTCAGGTTCGTACTTTACACGACGATTGTGGCTTCCAGGGTGTTCAGCAACTTTTACGCGAGTTTCAGGGGACAAAACGAGGTCATATGGCAATATCATGTCATGCAATTCGCGTTCTGGCTCTTTCCTTCATTCACATTAGCAGCAACATGGAGCCACAACTCACAACGTAGCTTGGGAGATATCTACACGATCCCCCCTACGGGATTCTCTATTACTGAGCTGGACCAGGCAGTGGCATTGAGTACAGGGGCTGTAACTGTTGTCTACAGCGCGTATCGTGCGTACAAGTCTTGATCCACGCGACGAGGACAAGGAAGATAGGCTATACGGAAAGGCGTCAAGGTCTGCTATTGTGGAAGAAACATGATAGAATGCCTCTTCACAATTAGTAGATAAATAGGCCTGAACTATCCTTAGTTACTGCTTTCCATAGTACCACTCGCTGCTCAAGCCCATGACATGGCTGCCGTGGTACTCATTCAGCAATAGGCCAGATAACATACACTTCTACACATTACGCGAAGCTCCACCAGGCCGTCCCACCGCCGTTGGCGTGGTACGACCGGCCCCAAGTCACCGGCACGAACAGCTCCTCCGCTCGGTTCCCAGACCCAACATGCTCGCATGTGTAGCACTCACCGCCACTCCAGCCCAACTCGCCTACCCCAGCCACGCTCCCAACAACATTTCGATATTAACTGCATGCACGGCGATAGTTCCGCATCCGTTTCGCGTGCGCTTCTACACTGCATCGCTGGTATTGTGGCGTTCTGCATTTGGAGATCCGAAGCGAGGAATCCATGTTGTGTGATGTAGGGCTGTACAAGGGTAGGCAGCGAGATCGGGGCCAGGGGTACGACTTGGGTAAATTCAGATTGTCGATAGGCCACAGCGAGGGATGGTTTAATTTGAGAGGGAACTGGTGGTTGATTGGTACTTGGTAGCATTGTTTTCGGAAAATTGTTGCCAACCACAAAATCGTGTATCGATATTGGCAACACCTTACGTTACTTTCCAACATTCACACCATCACCCAGCCACTCCTCTAGCACGTCATTGAATTCTCTTAGTCCTCTCTTCCTGGTTTCATCTCCTACTACAACTGCCCTCATCACATCTTTCAGGCTGCCTCTCCAGACGCTGATATGGTTCATCGACGCCTCCATATCGACTCTCACATCCTCCGGATCTTCTTTATTACGTTGTTCTCTCTTACCCACATCCAAAGTCGCGGCTTCATTCGCTCGAGCCTCGGAGTCCATATCCCGCGTCAACCCCTCGCACCCACTAGATGAAATTCTGCGCAGCATATCCTCATCCAGCACTACTAGCCTCACGCCCTTATCCTCCCACCCCTTCTCAACCCAGATGAAGCACTGGGTAAAGGTGCGCCGCATTACGGGTGTATAATCATAGCGTACCCGAACAAGGTCTACACAGGGATTGGGCAGGGCCTGTAGTTGCTCCTGCGTCAGCCCAGGGCGCGCCAACAACCGCGGACCGCGCCGCAAAGCGCAGAATCTTGGAAGCAGACTTGAGAGGTGATGCGATAGTGCGACATGCCAGCGGACGAGGTCCTTGAGCAGAGTCGGTGGCTGTGGAGCGGGTCCCTCAGATTCGACCCGTATCGTCGAGCTAAAAAATGGTCCATAGTCTTTCAATATGCCATCGTTGAACACTGTCCTGTCGCGCGTGGGGTACCATTCGCGGTAGATGACATCGAAGAGCGCGGTTTGATCTGCACCTACTTCTGTGACGTAGACGGCGACGTCTCTGTATGCAAAGAAAGGTAGCAGGTGCGCGGGAAGGTCTCGCAGGAGGAAAGGCTGGCCATCGCCGTTATCTTGGCATATGGCTGTTAGGGACAGTTGCCAGTCGTGGACGGGCGAAGATGAGGGTGAAGGAAGAGAGAAATCGTTAGCGCGAAGGCGATGCCCGAGACGAGTTCCATTGGAGTGGAAGTAATAGTGCGTTTCGACGTCAGATGCGAAGGCTTCATCGACAGGCGGTGGAGAAGGAACTGGAGAAGGAGGTGCATGAGCCGAAGCCCATGCTGTGAATGTTGAAGACGTCATCGTACGCTACCTCCGGTAGGCTATTTGGCTTTGCGTTCAAGTCGCATATATGTATGCTAGGCCACAATACGGTTCCAGCCCTCCTGTCGAGTCACAATAAAACATTGACTGTGCCGCTCAGCCGCTGAAACCGGTGAGCTGGGAACCGGACTCTGACGTCGGTGGGGATCCTACCAGAGACCTAAGCCTCAGTCAATAAAGGCGAAGGGAACATCTCTGCTTACCCGGCTGAGATGATGGTGTTGTTCATTACTTCATTTACATCGGATTTGCGCCAGGACGGCGTGATGCTGATTGCTCGGATAAACTCGGCCCACGGTCACGTGTCATTCCAAGGCAGCTACCAATAGTAGGCGAAATCCTGCCTGCAACTTTAATCTCACATCACGGCACAGCAGACCAGCCTGCTAAACCGACCCCACGAAAGTAAGCCGTTTTCACCCCACCAAGACATTCGATTATATACTAGACGTCAATAGCGTGATGGAGACCGGGAGGAATGGTGGGCCATGAGCTATCAAATGTATCAGTAAGACAGCAACATTACCGAGTAAAACATCTGTGTACTTGAGCAAAGCTTTCTAGAATCTTCATTCTGACAGCAACTGAATTCTTTTCAGTCGTAACTGTGTTTAGCAACCTGCAGGGTGTACGCACACACCAGTCCGTCACGCTATGTCGACACACTACTTTTCAGGCAGCTTTCGACCCTTACTCCCTGTGCGGCACAGCAAGGCCCGGAGTTGGCAAACTTGCGGCAGAAATAACCGGAGCAAACTCGCTTTTTGATCAGTAAACCTTGGCTTACCCTTGCTCAAAGTTTCATAAGGAGCATAGATTGTGCTTATTCCGCAGGCCCATTGCATTTGTGAAGAGAGCTGTGCATCTTAATCAGACAGAAATATCTTCTTCTGAACCTTGTTGTCTCGCTTCAGCTCTGAGAATGGGACCTAAAAGTATGGGGTGCCGTTCATGGGCTCCAGCATCGCGTAATTGCATCATCGCGGTTATGTTCAGTTCAATCTGGCAGCGAAGAAAATCCGGCAAGAAAGACTGGGAATGGATCCTCCGATTGGGATTGATTTCGGGAAGCTGAATCACAAGGACGTCACAGCTACTAAGCTAAGATTTTTTTCTCCGGCTCTTCGTCATTGGGATAGGATCACACTGTCTCAGCCGACTTCTCATGGTGCCCGTGAGTGTTACGTGCTTCTAGGCCTTTTCGCCTAGTAGACACATGGTTACTTTTCCTTAATTTGATTTTGAGACAACCTAAGATCAGGCCGTTTGGGCAAGGCATGATACCTGTGGTATTACAATAGTGGGTAGTATGCAGTGGCGAAGTCGTCCAACACAGGCAGCAAAGCCAACTTGAAACGACCTGAACTAGCGTAGGATTGATTGTCGGCGTATATGCTAGGCCGTCATTACTCTACGACGGCAGTCCTGCTCTTGTCATGCTTGGGGTTGTATAGCTATATAGAGCGTACACCGAGACTTCCTAACTGCTCCTTACTGTTGCATTACAATCAATGCGTCCCACGACGTCATCTCTTCACATCGTTTCATTTATCTCACTCTCAGTGCCTGTCCATCATGGGTTTAGGGTCATTGGTAGCCCTGTCTTGTCTCTTCTCCGCGGGATTGGCCCAGTCGGCAAATTTGTCAAGTTCATCAACATCGATTGTTTCTATTCCAGGGGACAGGAGCACTGCAGGTACCCTACCAACATCATTTAATTCCACCATTACGGATGGATCTTCAGGAGTTGCATGGAATTCGTTGAACACCTCTTCAGAAGCTGTTCCACTTCCATCTTCAACTGTCCCGCCTAGTGATGCACCCACTATCACACAGTCAAGCAAGAATGGAAGCCTACCGCTTGATTCCTCAAGCACCTCGGTATCCTCTAGTACGCGAAGTCTGCTGTCCTCTGGCACCCAAAGCCCGGTATCCTCTAGCATCGACAGTTCACTATCCTCTAGTGACAAACACCAGTCAAGTACGAACAGTTCGGTGCCCTCGTTACCGTCGAGTCTCCATATTTCGTCATCCTTAGTACCCTCTAGCACAGACAGTGCGTTATCCGGGTCATCCTCCATCACTACCAGGCCAGGACCTTCAATCACAAGCCCTCCAGGACCCACATCTTCAGAAGATTCATCCCTTCCAATCATCACCTCGTTTGACCCAGCTATCTTGACAGTTTCGTCGATTGATTCAAGTACATCTGAAGATACAGCAATATACACAAGCGACGGAACTCATCCTCCGGGCTTATACCCTTTCGTCCATGGAGGAAAAAAATGCTTCTTCTGTCCGCCTGGCCTTGACCTTGGTGGTTTGGTTTTGTGGGGCATGAGCAAGCCTGGTATCTATCCACCACCGGTGCCCCCACCAGTTCCCAATGTCCCGTGGCCTACAATCACCATAGGTCCCGGAAACCAACCAACGCCGGGGCAGAACCCAGATAATACGGGAACTGAGGGCGCATCATTATCGCAGACGTCTGAGAGCTGTACCACTTATACCGCGTCCTCTTGTGCCGTAACTTGCGCTACAACTTCTGGACAGCGAACCGCATCTTGTGCTACCAAGTGCGAGACGAGTACTGGCTGCAGCGTTACCAACATTGCCTCAACTACGACCAAGTCAGGATCTTGTTCCCCATCGAACTGGGCCTCTCTAGAGAGTGGACCTGGAGATTCAGATGGCAGCGACGGGGGCGACGAGGGGCTCGATCCTTCATATAGTGGCTCAGTACCGGCGTGGGTAACAGCTTCGCCTTCGGTGACAGGAGCTGTGACATCAACAACTGAAAGTGGAGGAACTCCTACACCCACTTCTGCCCAGCACAATTTCTGCGTCCCTTATCAGGATCACAACAAAGGCGAATCTTACTGCACATGCGACGATGGACAGTCTCGCAGTTTTCTGGACAATAGAGCACACTGTCCTACAACATCCCCAGCCTCGGAAGTCATCCCAACGTCAACAGCAGAATCGCCAAAGACTGACAGTAATGGCAACGTCTACAATTCGACCGATATACTTGCAGGCACTATATGGGGCTGTAAGTCGACCAGCACTCGAAATGATTTGGGTCCAAATCCTATAACCATGTGCTTGTCGAGCAGCAGCATTGGAATGGCCTTCACTCCCACACCTGATCCTTCTCAAACTACAGACTCTCCTATCCCAGAACCAACTGGGCAAAATTGTGACGCATGCTCCAACGACCTGGGATCTTCTAGCTGCGCTGCTGACGATGATGAGTGTCTTTTAACAGAATGCGAAGCCAATGAGCAGTGCGAAACCTGTGGTTTTGACTGTTCTTCCATCATCGGCACACTTTTCCGTAGGCGCAATGGTTTTATTGCACGTGCCATCATCAGCGCTCGTCCGAGACAGATGCTCAAGAAGCTATCTCGCCGCAATGTGATAGAACCGACATCACTCGCACGCGTTTCCGATCTCGATCGCATTCGCTCACTTCGCAAGCGCGTTGAGCACAAACCAGCTTGGAAGAAGTTCGCCCCCAAGGGCGTCAAATACTATAAGATGCTTCAGGATAAGCCACTTGAAGATAAGGTAGAGCCAAAGATGTGCGAATTGGACGCTTATTTCGATGTGAGTAAGACCGGCCCGACTGCATTGCGCGCGCGTTCAAAGCAAGCTCTGTTCGAAAAGTTGGGTATCGCTTCCACCCAGTCGTACTACGCCTTCGGGGCTGTTGGCCCTAAAGAGGGAACCTCTATTGCCGACTTCCAGGAAACGATCAGCGCAGAACAGGGTATATTATTCGCCAACGCCAACGATCGAGGTGAGAAGAAAAATGGCAAAGGTGAAGTAATCCAAAAGCCTATTCCTTACCAAATGAGCACTGTTGCTTGGTGGATGTGGAAGCACACCGTCATGCTATCCAAACCCCAAGGGGATCCAAACTCGGAGATGAAAGAGGAAGATTTCGACTTTTCCAACTTCAAGTACTTCTTCCGTGTCAGTATCAAGAACCACGATACACTTGAGATATTGGAAGAGGCCCTGGGGAAATCCACAGCTCCAAAGGAATTCACGCCTGAAGATCAGAGCGAGGATAATGGATTTTGGCCATTGCTAGGCAGCCCTAATGGCAACGGTATCGCGTGGTTTCTTGCTGATCATAAGAAGTCCCTGAAAGGGAAAACAATCGTGAAGCTCACTGCGTGGTTTCGGGAAGATGCGGGCGAGTATCACATGTGGGCTACAATCAACTAAGTTTGGACATCTGCCAGTCGAGATATTCTGGGACTTTTCGCACAGGTCGCTCGTTCCTTTTCAATTTTCCGATGTTTTTGAACGTACGTAGAGGGACACTACCTGTTTTGACTTATTTGTCTTTTTTTGGCTATCGTTAGATGGCTTCTGTACACTCAAAAACATCTATGCTAGATATCATTATAACTCCGCATCCGGGCGCTGAAAAGGCACACTGGCGGACTCTTGAAAGACACAAACAGCCGTCTCGGTTGCTCGCCACGAGTTCGCACGTCTCTATACTACGTTCTGAACGTACCGACGATGCCATTGACTACAACAAGATCGAACACCTCCCGACGCTCGTGATGGGGCTCACGAACAAAAAGCTCTGTTATGCACAGATGATGGACGCATCAATCAAGATGCTGGCGGATAGTCTACCAAAGCTAAATAAAACCAGAGCTGTGGATGAAATCAAGTATCAATAGCAGAGACGCGATCAAGCATACGAACACGCAGGGCTTCAATGTAAGTCGCAAAATGCGCAGGAGCCAAGGAAGTGGGAAACACAAACACGGACATACACACTGAGAGAAACGGCACAATTTATTCATTTTCATTGGCTATATTCAAAATGCTCTCTCTCTCTCTCTTTTATGGTTCTCAATAGCAGATGTCATGCGTGGAGTCGACATCCGGAGCCCAGATGCAGCCGCGACACCCTCGGTCCTGGCAATCGGCATCATTGTCGCAAATCGACCCGAACCCGGGGCAGTAATCAAGACGCGCATTCAGCCCACCGACATCTGCTTCGCGCTTGGCTGACTGCATGGGAATTAGTTGTGATTCACTGCGCTGGTGGGTAGTGCTGGTACTTACCATGTCAGTGGTGGGAAGAGCCAGTGCAGCCGTGATAGTAGCGAGAACAGTGAACAATGAGAGACGCATGGTGATAGGGTTTGCTCTTGGGTGGTAGGAAGACTTGTTGTGTGTGGTGGGTGTTGGGTCGCTGCCAATACAACAGTAGACGAACACGTCTTTTATATGCACGGCCTCATTCGCAAGGCTCCTAGCCAAGGCCTTACGGTTAGTCTTGGTGTTGGTGGTGCAATGTACAATCCTTCTAATTAGGCGAAATGTAATACAGTTCACTAGCCGTGTTGAAAATAGTACTCACTCCTTCCTGCTGCCACTCCCACTCCCCACTCTTACGCCCCCAAACTCCTCAGTAAATGGCGTATTATATGGTTCAGATCGACCTCAGGAGTTGAAATACATTACATCCCCTATAGCCTACGTCTTTGGAATTCTGACCGTTGAAGCAAATTTCCCATAGCCGGGGCGGTAGCTACGATGTATATCTGATCGCCCAAGGCTGGGGGCCGGGCTTGGCTGAGACGGGGGTAAGCTGCAGTTTATGCTGATTAGTTGCTAGCATACGGAATGAAGGATAAGATGTATTTGACGATTTCTAAGGCGGGGAGGGCTAGTGCGGCCGTAATGGTAGCAAGGAGGGTAAAATTTATTGTGGATGTATGGTCGTAGAGTGCGTGGAATGGATAGGATTGGATTAACGGGTATTACAAAAGTCTTGAAACAGTCTTACATACCTGACCTTCCACTTCCATATTATCTAGTGGTCGGCGTTCCTAGCCAAATGCTCACATGCAGCCAGTCAGGCTTCATTTCAACCCCCGGCACTACGTACATATTGTAATATCACAATCCTTATATGCGACTAACACTAAGTAAATACAGTGTCTACCCTTGGCTAGCAAACCTGAATCAGCGAAAGAGATTCCTCAAACAGACCCTGAGTTGATGTGACTTCTTCACACACTGCATGTTGAGGGACTCGAGTAGCCGAAATGGGGAGTAGGCAATCCTTACAAGCGGTAAGTGCACTATTATACGAAGCGAAACAATCGCAATGCCGGGCGCTAGGGGCTCGGTATTTCTTGGCACCGTGGAAGGATTGAGGGGTAGTTGTACTCGTACGGTACGTTGAGACAGTACCCTTTCGGGGTTTTCAAAGTCCGAAGCTTATGGCCCTTAGAGGCAATTTAGTTGCGCTGTACATATTGAGACAGTACCTACCCTTTCGGAGGTTTTAAAGTCCGAAAAGCTTTGCCTCGAAAGCAATTTAGTTGCACTGTTCTCTGCACGTGTATGTATTGAGTCGGGACCTTACATGTCGCATTCGAACAGTTCTATGTAGCCGGTGTGGCTCGTCCGAGCTGGCTTCGATATGTTTGCCTGTCCTCAAAAGTAACCGTCATGTACGCGATCCCATGAATGCGGCAGCCCTACCAAAAGGTTATAGTCGAGGGCAAAAGTTTCTCCAGTCTTATTTCCTGGCTCTACAACAATTCTTGGTCAATCGAATTGGCTTTCTTTGATATATTTACTCAACTATTAACTGACACTTGTTAAAAGTGGGTTAAGCTAGGAGACCAAACCATAAAAACAGACGTACTAGAGTGATCTATCCCATTGAAGGGTGTAATTGACTTGAGAATCCAATAAAATCGATATTAATTGGACCAGAGCCATGAAGATGGGGCAGGAAACACTTGCAAAGCACCAACAAGCACCGTATCTGCAATGGTGACATCTTGAGTATAACTTACATCGATATCATGCCACGAAGCAAATACCTTCGTTGTTATAGAGACTAGAAGCAATCATGCACAAACCGCTACATCTTGAATTCCTCCATCCACCCAACCCAGTCAAGCTTATTCCACGGCAGTCCAGATCAGAATCACCAAAAGAGTGGTGGTCGTAATTAGAACCTTTGTAGTCCGCCTGCACATAGTAATGCCACCAATTTTCGAGATACCGCTCTTTTAGATCATGAACGCAGATGACGATAGGCGCGGGTTTCTGCACCTTAGCCGCGTAGTAATATTTATCTTGTTACGCAAAAGTTCTACGGCAAACTTTCTTACTAATTTTTAATAAATTTCTTACCAAATAACTTAATCTAGTTATTATAGAAGGTAAAAAGGGTACTGAGCTATTAAAATAAGCGCTCAAATGGGACAAGATAATAACAAGATAGATTGATAAATTATGCTAATTCGTCAAAACTTTGAACGTATAGGTTAGAGCTATGGGTAGGTGGCGGAAGAACCTTTGCAAGGCAATAATAACCCCCAAGACTATACCAATATACCAAAGGTCCACACGCTTGTCTCGTGGATTCATACACCTGCAGCTGGTCGACCTATTGCTGAATTGATGAACGATACGCAATGTTAGGAATGCCAACACCATTGCGCCTAATAGGAGATGCTATCACGGTAGAATTATGCCGCAACAAGACTTTGCGGCACAGTATTGCGGAAGGACACCTCACAGCGTTCCGACACCGACAGTAGCCGCATTGCTGGTATGACTCACACGACCAGAACTTGTATCTCGCACGAACATGTATCTTTCGCAGCACCCTTTCAACTCGGCCACATCGAAACGTGCCACACAATGGAGATAGCCCGGAACCGTTGGGCACCACAGCTACGTCCGAACGGCGTCGTGGATCCGTCATTCGTCTCGCGGAAACTTACACTGCCCACTACTCCCACGATATCTTTTCTCAGCCTCCCGCGTGAATTGCGCGACAAAGTCTACCTGTACCTTATCCCCAATACTCTGTCCTTTACCATGCAAACCCAAACAAGGGAGAAGACATACTGGTACTGGCCAAATCGCTCAAGCGGCCTCCAAACCAGGACATGCCCCATACATCATTACCTCGCCTACAGTCCAGCTCTCCTCATCAACCGTCAAACCCGCTCAGAAATACTCTGCACCATTTTCGCACACACAACCTTCTGCTTCAACTGGCGGCGACGCGCGCCCTTCATCCTCAAATGCCTGCATTCCATCCCAGACCATGCGAAAGCGCGGATTGCACATCTTTCGTGGACGGAGTGGGCGCTTCACACGGGCGGTGAGCGTAGGGGCTACACAGGGTGGACGAAAGTCATGAAGTATGTTGAGACGCACTTCGCCAGCTTGCGGACTATGTGCTGCAGCTTCCCGTCCGGCGAGCATGGGTTGCATCACTATCATAATTGGGACGTGCCGCGGTTAGCGGTTAGTATGCTTATGGAAGGGAAAATCGAAGAGCTGACGTGGGGATGGCGTATGGATGGGTTCTCATACCGCAGCGGGATTGAGGACGGAGATGTCGTCGAGGTGGCAACGGCGCTGTTGAGTATACCGTATAGCGAGGGTGCGGATGGGGATATGGGATGGGAGTATGGACGGTTGCTAAGGGAGAGGGAGCAGTTGGATGAGAATGATCCGTTGGACAGGTGGGCGCTGGAGTGTTTGCAGCGGCCGAAGCACCGGCTTGTTGTGATAACGGATTTTACGCAGCGTCTTTTGTTGATACGAAGAGGATAAATCGCATGTTGTGTCTCTTACTTGTAACTGAATAGCGGCACGTTGGAGAGCTCCTCAATTGATAGGGGATAAGCAACGGATTGACAATCCGACAGACAGACGCAGGTCTTTCGAACGCCTGCAGATCAGTCGGCACAGGGATTGTTTAGGTCGCCGATTCCCGTATTGCGAACCCTGCAGTCGAACGGAGGTTCTTCGGCCAGATCCAGCGTGGTGTATGATCAGCATAAATGCCTGCAGAAGGCTGGATGAGGCTACAGGCAGAGAGGCGAATGGCATTATCAAACAATGAGCGGATCAAGTCGGAAATTCACCCTGCGTAAAGTAGATTTCGCAAGAGGTAGGCGATGATAGGATGTAGATCGTGTTATAAAGATAGTGTGGTACTGTGTATGAGTGGGGTCTACATATGTAGTCTAGCGCAGCGGACCACCATACATACATAGTACATACCGTTTGCCGCCACTGAGCTGGGCTGTTTCACTCACGTTCCAACGGTTCTTGGCGCTATCTGTAGATCCGTACGTTTTATTCGTCGTGTAGACGGGGTCCTCATTTGCTGGGTTCCTTCACTTATACAGTATTTCTGTTTCCCATCTGCTTGAACAGCTGCTCGTACATAACACTCCCTTCCACATCAGCAGCGCTCAGCCTCTCCTCGGTCGAGACCTTAATGTGCGATGAAAGATCGATGTTTTCCAATCCCCTGCCGATCTTAGCTCTTCTTCTCACCGGTGTTCGTATCCCCTCGTATTCCTTACCCAAAGCGGTTGCTGCTTCCGCCCCCACCGATGACGTCCGACCATCGTGTTATACCTTGTCCCACCTCGTGTCGACTCCCAAACTGTGTTCCCTTGCAATCAAAATCCGTAGCACGAGCGCTCAACGCGCCGCTCGCAGTTTCTAATTCGCCAACTACACCTCGTGTTCTCAGCCGCGATCCGTTGCTGCAAGTATGATGTCGCATCCGCCCAAACATATACGAAGAGACCAGAAGCCATGCCCGCTTTTCGAAACACCCGTCTCTACGTCCTCGCGAACGTTTCTGAATCTACCAACGTCGGCGCCGTGACCCACAGCGTTCGCGTTTCTTCGTATACATTTCTTTGACGCTTCGACGATCCCCATCCCGCGGTACGGTGCTCGCCGCAGCAATGCTTCAGAGTCCAGTCAGTCCAGAGAGCCCAGACGGCGCAAGGGCGTTCCACAGAATACACAACTATGAAGCCGGCCTGGAAGTTGCCGCGAACCAGAACCGCGAGAAGAATGACTTGGATCCCGTGGTTGTGAACTCGCCGGTTGACACACAGTCGCCGCTTTATGTCACTCACGGACGCTGGCCAGAGGCTCCGCAGGCGATTGATTCCACTTCTCCGCAGGCAATGGGCGATGCGGCGCTTGAGACGAGTCGTGCCGCTCCAGCTCCAGCGCGACATAGTCAGGATGCGTCAGGAGCAGAGAAGGCGTCTACGTTGGGGATTAGCGAAAAGGGAGTTCCTAACCGCTGGTGTGGCCTCAGCAGGAAAGTCCTACTGCTCATCATACTATTGGTGCTCCTCCTAGTAGGCGCCATCATCGGCGGCGCCGTCGGAGGCACCCTCGCAAAGAAGTCCACCTCTCTGTAAGTTTCCCCCTGCCGTTGCACCCTCCTCCACCCAGCTCACCAAGATACTAATCCCACAATCTTACACAGCCCAGCCTTAGCGAACACCACAGCCTTAACGCAACCAGCCGATCAAACCGCCCCATCAAAGACATCCTCCTCCACAGAGTCCACATCCGCCCCCCACGTCCGCTTCCGCCTCCAAACCTACGACGACTACAACTACGCCGGCAGCCTCCAAGCCTTCACCGAGCCAGGCATCTGGGCCCCCGCCTTCCCCATCCTCAGCTACACGTGGGTCCCCGCCCGCAGCGGCGACTACCTCGACGAGAACCTGCTCCGCTGCTCCGTCGCCTTCTGCGCCAACGAGACCGTCATAGGCTGGCGGGGCAGTTCGGAAAAGCAACAGCCCGGCAGCCCCGAGAGCAACCACACTGCGAATTTCTTACATATTGCGTGTGATAAGTTGAATGTCAATCCGGAGTGTAGGGGCTTTGGTCTGGGGAGCCCGGAGGCGGAGACGAGTGCTATGACGGCGCAGGTTTTTAGCCAGATGCCGAGTGGGACGGAGGGGGAGTGGGGGAGAGCACGACGCTGGCGACCAGTGCGACGGCGAAGGTAAACGCATCTACCTCTCGTCCGGCTTCGAAGTCGACGTCGGGTTCTGGTCCCGCTTCATCAGTGTCGAGTTCCGGGTCCGGTCCCGGCCCCGGCGCCGGTTCAAGTGCAAGTGCTTCCGGCGCAGTTGCAAGTCGTTCCGGGCCCGGCGCTGATATAAGTCCCACGGCGACGCCAACTTGATTCTTTGCTTTTCTTTCTTTCTTTCTGCACGCCATTCACCAAGATACCACTTTGTTTGTTTATATAAGAATTTAAGAATGTAGCTTTCATTCCTTCGTTGCGCATGCATCTATCTTCACACCTCCATCCTATTTACAACACAACACAACCCCTCCCCCCTTGTAAAGACGCCCCTACGAAGAATTCGAATTATCCGCACAGCTCCACGCTGCACTCCCCCCCGTCGCCTTGTAGCTATCGATAATCCCCACCACACTCCCATAGGTGCCCGAAATCATGAGGAACGTCCCCGAAATGATGATGAAGAAGCACCAGAAGACCATGAGCAGCCACTTCGCGGACTTGCGCTCCTTGCCCTTGCTCCAGTGGTCGTACAGCCACATGCCGCCCATGGGCTGGAAGCAGATGAGGGTGCCGAGCAGCGCGCCGACGAGCGAGACGAGGCCGCCGAAGACGGGGATCGCGGACGCAATGATGTAGGCGATGCCCGCGACGCTGCCTGTGCAGCCGAACCAGGTCATCCAGTGGATTTTGGTGTTGCGCGCGAGATGTGTGGTTCCGCGGAGGAAGCGGATGAAGAAGTATTTTGCGGCGAACTGAGGGTTGTTAGCTGTGGTTATCGCGTTTGATATGTGGGACTTACGTGGATGTACATGGTGGTGCTGACGAGCAGACCGGGGAGGGCGATTCCGTAGCAGACTTTCTTCATCAGGGGGCCTGCGGATCCGAGGGCGGGCGATGCCACGTAGGAGCCGCAGTAGTAGTAGACGACTACGCCAATGGCGATGTAGACGGCTGTCATGATGGTCTGGCAGTAGATGAGCGACTTTGTGAAGTCCCGCGGGTCGCGCATCTCGGAGACGATGTTGAAGTAGGCGGGGACACCTGCGTAGGCGAAGACGATGGAGGACAGGGCGGCGAAAGCGCTGGCGGCATCGGGCGTGGCGAAGAGCTTGTAGTCGGAGACGAAAGTGCCGGTTTGAGGAGCTGCAGATGGGCGGTCTTGCACGCCGACGGAGACGGTCAAGATCAAGACTGGAAAGAGGTTAATTATAGGATTTCTGTACCAACGCGTCTTGTGGAAACTTACTGGAAATCAAGATGCTGAAGGTTCCGATCCACGCCAACCACGAAATGCGTCCCAGCGTCTGGATACTTCCCAGGCCGAATCCAACGACGGCAGCGACCGCAACGAAGATGGCCGTGCAGGCGCCATGGCTCGAGAGAGCATTGAGATCGGTTGCAATACCAAGGATACCGGAGCCTGCGACGAAGATGCAGAACAACGCGAACGCAATACCGAAGCTCTCGTAGCCAAAGCGACCCAGGATTTTGCGGCCTACGTCATCGAGGCCGTACACGTCGGGATGGCGCACTTTGAACACACCCACGATCCAACCCGACCAGGATGTGCAGATTCCAATGGCCAGCAAGCAGAGGATGCCGGGGATGAGACCAAGCACGTCGAAAACCTCTGGGATGGAGAGCACGCCGAGTCCGATTTGGGTCTTGAGCATCAGCACGACCGCGCCTTTCCAGCCAACCTGGACAAAGTCAGTGACGTGCGGAACAAGCATGGACGACGTCGTCGACTTACAGCTCGGTAGTTGGGGCCCTCCTCGGTGAGTTCACCAAAGACGGCATCCGTGGCAACCGTCTGGTTATCGACGAACTCTCCACCCTCGCCTCCATCCTCAGCGACCTTCTTCTCGTTGCGTAACATGATGGGTATGCGGTCTCAGTGAAGGGAGGAAGAGCAACGCAGTCTTCTGCCCACAAACAGCGAAATCGGCATCGATATTTATCATTGTGGAGACAGGCCCCGGCGGTTCCCCGGTCGCTCTTGGTTCCCAACCACGGCCACGGCCAGCGGTGGGTCTTCACCATCAGGCAGGTCAGCCTCTCGACACGTGCGTCCGGCCGCTCCGTGCCCATCGTCGACCCACAACCTATCTTCTCTAGCCCTCGGTCCGGCGTCGCTCTATCTCCTCCGATGCTAGCCGAACTGTCATCGCGTGTGGTAACTTATCTCTGCCCAAAGCCATCTCAAACATTACAATCTACACAGTCTCAAAGCCTGCGTTATGCGCGGTTTACTCGGCACGAAGCCGCCATGCAAACACGTTGAGCGCAAGCTTTTCCAGATCGACGCCCTGCCGGAAGCGGCTAAGCCACCGGCCTTCTTGCGTAAAACCCCGCGAAAATTCCTGCGGGGCACCCTGCACGCAGCCGGAGGAGCCTCGCCTCGGCGTCCCCCCATAGGCTAGACGCCCTGCCCATGGGGATGATGGCGCCATTGAATTCTCTGTACGTAAAGCGGAAACATAGCGCCCCTTGGCTGCTATCGCGGCGCGTGTACAGCGACAAGAGATGCGCCCAGAAGGAGGCATTGCTTCTAGCCGCCTTACTATCGACGTCGCGCAGCGGAGTGGAATTCCCACATTGGGGGAGGGACCTCGTATGACAATTGTGGTCTGTGGGATTGGTATGCGCATGATTACTTCACCAGCTTTGTGATGCATCCTTCATCTCACTCACAAACCCGCTATATCACAATGCTGAGACAGAAATCCACACACCGCGCCGAGCGCAAGCCCTGTGTCCTCCAACGCGCCTTCCAAGCCTCCCGCGCGTTCCTGCCCAGCGCCGAAAAGGCCCGAAATGCGGCTCTGCGGCCTTGGCCCTCTCGGCTCCCCTCCACATGGCGCGCAAGGATGGCGCGCTTGCCTATCGTGCACTACCGCACAAGGCGACGAGCTAGCTCAGTCTCGACGCAGTGCCACCACTGTACTACCACCGTACTACTCCACGTTCTGAGCTCTCGCCCGACCCAAAGACGCGCACCAAAGCGTTAATTCATACTCGACTCGGGTAGTATTAGGCGTAGTAGGTCTGGGGATGGGTACCTTCGAGGAGCAGGCTCGGCATAGGCTTGGGGTCATACACCACCTGTGAAGGAATCGATTGGCTGCATTGCACTGCAGTTCATCAGGTCTCGGTTGATCTGACGCCTCCTAAGACGTCGTGTTTCAGCGCGGACAAGTCGGGGCGAAACGAAACTATCTCCCCGCACTTTCTTCGCTTGCTTGAAGAGTCGGCGCGGAGCTTGTGCAACTACTGGTCATGGAGAAAGCGCGCTTTGCCAGGGGCCGTCGAGGCTTTTCTCGTCCTCGACCCGTTCCCAATCGCGCGTGGAGCCTTCGTCTGCTCAGAGGTACCTCGGACACCGCGCGCTGACTGGCTTTGCCTCCCCGGGCGTGGCACATGGTGTCGTTCCCGGGTTTGCGCAAATACTGTAGCATGCTAAAAGACGTCTTCGCGCGGATACAGGGACTAGAATTACATGCCGATGAGGTAATGGATGATGGGGAGATATACATGGTGTGCTGAGGCGCGCGTCTCCTGGTCGTTGATTTCCTTTTTGCGTGCGAGGGGGGCAGCTTTGCGACATGACATCTATGCTATGGTATACTTCGTACTACTCTGTACGTACTCGGGCTTTTCACAATCATGGAGACGCTGGACACGTAGCACACATGGGATATGTATTTGCATTTGCGTTTATTCAAGTGGTATCAAGTGGTGCCGGGGCTATGTAGGTGCTGCACCGAAGCGCAACAACGCCTCCGAAATTCAAGGGGTATACAAAAACGATCATGAAAGCGACATCCTCCCGTTTAGATGCAGGTAGATGCCAAAGCATCAGGATCAGATAAGTGGGATCCCCAAGATTAGACGCCGGGAAATGCATGTGCGCCTGTCCAACATTAAATCTCATCCTGTCGTTGATATCCATTCGATACGCTCTATGAGAGCTTGCAAACAAGCGGTGCTTGAGCGTTTCTACAAGGCAACTGTTCGTCGACAATGCAGTGAAGTAGCGAGACGCTCAGCTGTCATCGTCTGACAAGTCAACTTCGATCGCCCATGCGCGTGGAGTGCGCCGAGTACGCTTCCCAGGTGAACCAGCTGAGAAAGAATCCGTCTCCGTGGCGCGCTTCTTGCTCGGTGTTTGGCGCGACCTTCGCGCACGCGGTGTGTTGAGGCCGGATTCATCGTTGGTCCCAGAGTTGTCAGTAAGCGATGGTGTAGAACCACGCTCGTCCTCTGTAGATACCCGAAGGTAGGCCGACGATGACTTGGGAGCCTCGGATTGCATGCGGCGAGAGTCGTGTGCAGCATCCTGCTGCTGTTCAACGCGCTGCTGCTCCTCTTCTTGCTCTCTGAACCATTCGTCGTGCTGCTCCGCGTAGGCCTTCTCCATGGCCTCGATCCACTGGCTCTTCTCTGGATCTTCTTCACAAGTGTCGACGCAGTCAGGGCATTTGATGTAGAATGCGGTCGGAGCAGAAGGCTGATGCATCATCTCGAACTCCGGAAGATTCTCGCCAATCAGCTCCTCTTTGCCCCATTCCATGCAGTCCTCGCAGAAACCTCGAGGGCACCACCGGCATCGATACATGAGGCCTCCTGCATCGGTCGTGTTCTTGCCGCACTCGCAACAGGTGTGTTGAGGGCAGAAGAAACCGGCAAATCCTTTGACCTTTTCCTGATAGTCTTCGTCTAGGCAGTCGAAATGGAAAGCTCGAGGGCACGACTTGCACTGGACGATGTGGCCAATCTCAGGCCCGTCGAAGCAAGCTAGACAGTGCTCTTCATGAAGGTACTCGTGACGCTTCTCCCGCACCGCATTCGCCAGGCGAGGGTCTTTTCCTGCCATTGTCGGAACGGCCTCCCACTGAGCACAATTCAGCGACTCCTTGCTAACCTCGTAACCATCGACCATGACAGTCAGCTCCTTGCGTTGGCGACGATCCTTACGGATATTTGAAACGTCGGGAGCATTCTTGAGGCCCTTCTTCTCCAGCTTTCGTTGATACCGTTTCCCATCGAAGACTGCAGTCTCTACCCGCTCTATCACGGAAAGCCATTTCTCTTCGTCAATCTCAACACCGTCGGCGTCAGGAGACTGATAAGGATCGGCAGGCTTGTCTCGGCATTTCTTTAACATCGTGTCCAGGTCCCAAGAGAGCATCTCGGTCACATCAATTTCGGGATGCGACAAGGTTTGGGCGCCCCGACGAACGAGGGACTTCAGTTGCGATGTGTTCATCTCTGGAGCATCACCACCAACGAGCGTGGTTCCGCCGGTATCTGAAACACGTTCACCAAACATAGTTCGCATGGACTCGGTGATCTTGGTCGAAAGGTACAACTTCTTACGGATGCGACCCATCATCTGCTCCTCTACCGTACCTTGTGTGCAAAGCTTGTATATCGTTACTTTCTTTTGTTGGCCAATTCGGTGAGCACGGGCTTCGGCTTGCAGCGTGACCTGTTGAAATATATGATTTAGCAAAGTAAAGGCGGTCCTCGGTTCAAACGTACCTGTGGGTTCCAATCTTCATCTAGGAAGATCACGTCTTCGGCTGCTGTCAAGGTGATGCCGAGACCACCAGCTCGAGTAGACAGCAGCATAACCTTGTAGACGGATTTCCTATCATTGAACAACCGCATCTCTAAATTACGGCGAGCGCGACCGACGCTCCCGTCCAAGCGAAGGTGTTTAAATTCTTGACCGAAATTGCTAATCATCTCTAGCATATTCTCGCACCAGTCCAGAGTCTCTGTAAAGCCCGAAAAAATCAGTACTTTCTTGCCTTGATCGAAAACACTATGTTTGAGAAGCTTCTCGAGCACGATGAATTTTCCTGAGGAACGAATGATGTGTTGACCAGCGTAGTAGGGCTCTGGCATTGCACCGGGAAGAAGATACGGATGTGAGCAACACTTGCGAAGTTGCATGACCAGGTTCATCAGCTTGCGCCAAGCCGAGGTCGCATCGCCGTTTTTCTCCGTCTGTACAGCCTGTCGCATGATTTGCGCCGTCTCTTCCCACTTTCCCTTCTCGTCGGAAGCGGCTGAATTAGGTTGCACTTGCAAGTCTTGCGTGCGACGACGCTCTGCGTGCTCTTGCTTCTCTGCCTCGAGTGCTGCCAACTCCTTTCTCTTCCCGCCTGCAAAAAGATCATCTAGCATCGAATCATCCACACGCGTGAGCAGCCTAGTGTACCAGAACCGCTGCATAGGCGTGAGCGGTACATACAACAGTACCTCTTCTTTTGGCGGGAGGCCCAAATCGACACCAGGACTATCTTTCATCCGACGTAGCATGATGAGCTCGAGGAGTCGACGAGCATCATCCATGGTCTTCTTGTTAGCGCGTCCACGCGCAAGGTCGAACGATTCTTTGAACAGGCCCTGCGTATTGTCCGTGAAGACATCGGGAAGAAGCCATGCCAGTAAGCTCCACAACTCCACCAGGTCATTCTGCACCGGGGTACCCGTAAGGATCAGGCGGTGCTCCGAGGAGACCCGCTTCAACGCGGCCGAGATCTGGGATACATTGCTTTTGATCATATGGCCCTCGTCCAGCACGACATAGCGCCAGAGAAACGAATGCTTGAACCAGCTCTGCTCAGCCTTAAATGTGTCATAAGTTGTGACGATGATTTTGTACGAGTCTGAAGCCGATTCGGTCGGTAATTTAGACACCGTTAGGCCCGCTTTCTTGGATGCCTTGCGATCTCGAGCTTGGGCTGTTTCATTGCCGTATTGGTCCTCGAGACCCAGAGCGACCTTCTTAAGACGGTCTCGCTGAGTCGGCGTTCCGTGATAGCGCAAGATCTTGAGTTCCGGCACCCACTACACTATCATTAGCTTGGCTTGTGTGGCTTTTGCCGCAGATGCAATCTCAGGCGACTCACCTTCTGAGCCTCGTTGACCCAAGAGTTCAAGACACTCAGCGGACAGATAACAAGATATGGGCGCGACTCTTCCGAGACAACATCCAGTTCACAATCTTGTTCCTCTAGGTATTGGAACAACGAAAGAGTCTGCAAGGTCTTTCCCAAGCCCATCTCGTCAGAGAGAATGCCGGAGAAACCGTTATTGTGGAGATATGCAAGAAATGATAGACCGTCAAGCTGATAGGGCTTCATGGTCGCCTTGACGCCCTTGGGCTGCGCGGGGAGGCGCTTGTATTCCACGACAGATGCTGATTGCCCGTTCGCGACGAGTCTCGAAACATAGTTGTTCTGAGGGAGAAGCGGCAAGAAGAGATCTTTGTTGGCAACGATAAAGCTATTAGCTTTTGCTTGGGTTTTTCGCGCAATATCATCCCGCAGACGTGCCCGAGCAGTGTCGAGCTTGCGCGGTGACAGAGCATTCGACTTGCGCTTTGAAGGTGGAGTCGGGGGATAATAGACAGTGTCCGACGCGAGAATGTCACTCTTCCTAACTCGTGTACTCCTTCGTGGAGCCTCATCACGATCCTTGTCCTTGCGACGGTTCTCCATCTTCAGGCCCTCGAGGTGCGCATATGACTTATGACCTCTGCGTTTGGAAGACTTGGGAATGGGAGACACAAGCTGCTCTTCGAAGGTGTCCGACTCGCTGGCGCTCTCGCTCTCGCTGGTGTCTTCGGTCGAAGTCGAGGAGCCAGACGAAGTAATTGTGGTGGTATTCGAGAGATTAGAAAGTGCATGAACAATTTTAGGTCGCTGGGAGCTCGGTTGATTTTGTTTTATCGGCGGCTGTGGTGCCCTGGCAACCGACTCTGTTTGCGGTGAGCCCAACGAATTCTCCCTCCTGGCTATTGTCCTGGCTTTGGTCGCCGATGTTGCAGATTGCTGCGCTCCGAACTGAGCCAAAAGACTCTCGTATGCGCCTCCCCGCGTTGGCGTCGTCTGCGGAAGCATGCTGGCGGTGCGCGAGTTCTCATATGTCTGCTATCGAGGTAAAAGAATCCGAGTGAAGGCAAAGTGGTGCGCGTCACCGGGTTCATGGAGACAAACAGCCATGGGCGCAAGCAAGCATTGCGGGGCGATGAGAGTGAATGCGAACGGGACAAAGGGATCTACACTGTTAGACATTAGTGTCGATATGGCGAATGATGAATTGTGCCCAAACTCACTGTCTACACTTGACTGTCATCACTCACAGGCGGAAGTGAGGATGCTCGCGGGCGAAGAAGTCGCGTCCTCGAGAATATGCGCGCTAGCGGAGAAGAGCGGCTTAACGCCGAACTTTCGCGACCGCAACCTTCAATTGCGCTTAACGAGCCACCATCAGCTTGCTCTCCCTTCCTTCGCCTTAGCCACCACCACCACCATTGCGCACAGGCTGGACGCGCCGCCGCGCACCCGTTGTCGCCATGAGCCAGCCCCTCACGCTGTTTTGGCCCATCTTTCCCCAGAGATCGGATGGCCGCACTGTCGTTAATAACAAGGGCACGCCAGTCCGCAATGGCCCGACCGAGTCGCAGCTTGACCGCACGCCCAACGAACACGGCCAGAGCGACTTCTACCGACTGATTGAGAAGGATGACGCGAAGCACGTCGATTGGCGCAAGAAACTGGGCGGCATGCTGCTGCGCGAGATTGGCCGCAAGGAAGACGAAGACAAATGGCAACAGAGCATTCTGTGGGACTTCCCTGAAGGCTACAGGCTGTACGAGCATATCAAGTCCAAGACCAATGGCGAGTCGAAAAACCACTCCGGTGGCGGTCATGACAGACAAGACGCCTACCTTTACGGCTATCCCAAAGGGTAAGTCTATCTTACAGTACAGCGCCTACGCTTTTCTGCATGAGGAGATTCTGCTTGTGACCGAAAAATTCACCATCTACTTAGCATCTTTGGCATATCACCTTTACGCTATCAATTTCGGCCTATCACTCTGGTTCATGCGTACTGATTGTATACATAGACCCCGAAAACGCTTTCGAAGCCCAGTCGAGTTCTTCCCGCATCTGCTGTGGCTCCTCACCGACGAGGCGAGCGACTACAGCAACTGCACCTGCCGTATATGCTCGCCTAACCAGATCGAAGTTGAGAAACCCGCCCAACCAGCAAGACCTGCGGACATCACATCAAGCACAACTACTGGCCCGAGAACAATGAGCGCTCCCAATGGGCCTATACCGGTCAACCGGAATCCGGCTCCGATACCTATTCGACGTCCCAGTGTAGGCACGCCCGTCGCACAAAGCCCCGTATCGAAGCCTGCCACACCTACTACTAGCCCACACCACACCGCACAAATTAAAGCGCCACCTCGGCTCGAGCCTACTTCCCTCCCACAACCACGCACACTCGACCAGCAAGTCGACAGCCAATACGGCAAATTCATCGCTCGCCCTGGGGAAGTAGTATGGTTCAGGAGGCCAGGCGGTGCCTTTGGCTTAGGACTTGTGGCACGGCGCTGGTCATCCGCAAGCGGCACCACTATCGGCATGTACAGCATACAGCCACTTTCATACCCCGGTCATGCTCCGGCTCAAGAGATCGTTGAGGCGGGAGCGGATGTGAAGCCTTGGCTGGCCTGGTCAGTGCCGTCTTGCACTTTCGAGGTGTTGCGGCAAAACCCACACATCACCTACCACACTGCCAACTGGAAAGCCTTAGCTTCAGGCCAGTGGGAAGGCCATCCCGAGGTTGATGCTTCCATACTCGCGGCCAAAGCGATAGACATGACATATACGCCATTCGAGAAGTTAAAGACGATCCCCAACAACGGAAACGAAGAGCGCCACTGGAACGGAATATACTATGGTGCTGAAAAGGTTTGGCGAGGCGAGCCCGTGCGCTTGCGCCTGGGTATGGGATCCGACGTTCTGGTCATTACCGAGATCATTGAAAAAGTCTCTCCTGTCGGCACCAATCCACACCAAGTCAGCTCTAGGGTCGAGTTACGGGGAGACGTATATTCATATGCAACGCTTCCTGCGCCGAACCCTAAAGCGCCGCCAACTTTACCGCAAAACAACTACGTCCCTGTCCGCATGCGAGAAGACATGAACTGGCGAAATCAGACGTTGCTGCCCTCTGCCGGCGAGCTTTGCTACTGGAAGCTCATCTCATCGAACCAACGCGTAGCCCTCGAGGATGTCAAGGGTCGCTGGTACGAGATCAGCGTGCTCTTTCAACAATTCTTCTGGGAATCCGTTCAGAAAAAAGAGGGTGGTAATGGTAGCTGGATGAACGCACGCGGTGACGCCACCGGTCAGAGCAAAGAGCATGGCACTCTACAACCGGATCGCCTCGCGGCCTTTGCCGGCGCCATTCCGGAGCAGCTAAGACTTGTTGATGGGCTAGATCCGCCAGGCGACCACGATAAAACACAGCCCGCAATGCAAGGCATAGAACTTGGTATGGGTGCTGGAACTGGCGAGACTAATTTCGCCATCGACGAGTTTATGAACTTCGGCGAGGACACAACAATGCCCTTTGGCGATAACAACATCTACTGAACCATCCCGTGACTTGCGATCACTCGTTCTTACCAAGCGCACTAGAAGACTTCGAAAAGACCGACACTACACCTGTGGTACACCTGTAGTTGAGTTCGAAATCAATAAGCACTTAGTGACAAGGGCCAATGCCTTGTCTCCGGCTTTTCAGCTCTTCAAGGATACCTCACCAACCACGTTCAACTTTCTCCATTAGGGTCTTGGATATTGAAGGATCGTAAGTCTTTCGAGCAAAATGTCCTAGTCTTGCGGTGGTCATAATCCGTTCTAGCAGCGACCGCACGCTTTGGAATTCGCAAAAGAAATCCGCTATTCTTGCCGTATAACAGCCGGCAAAACGACAGAATTCAATCATGCACTTCCACGCAACCACACGGACAATGAAAGGGGGTTCATAAGCATCGCATTCCAAAGAGTCAGCAGCACTTGATAGAGTCATCTCTAGGAAATCCTCGTCGGACACATCACGGTTTCGGTCTCGTTGACTAGCATCTCATTGGCGGATGGCACCTCTATCATCGACTTAGTGTTGTGCTTTTCATAGTATACCCCTTTTGCGTCACCTTAGACGATACTAAATCTATTACTATCATATTTGATTTGATGCTTGTCGACTTCCATGATTACGTTCGCACACCGGATGAGGAAATGAAGGGTATTCTTTTGGACCGAAGTTACCCCAGTGCGAACCACTGCCTTACGTGTTGTAGTATCCATTCCTACACGTCGGATGCGTATCTTCCGGCGCCGCTCTCTCCCTATAAGTAGGACGCGATTGATAAGCAACATCAAACGGAGTGTCTTCAGGGTGATAGGGGGGAGATGTCACTTTAGATTCCAAGAACGCTTCATGCACGAAACGTTTTTGTCCTGAGCATGGAAGCAGATATCACATTCATGATTCCAACCATCTGCTGTACCCCTGACCTATCCTCCCACCATCATGGATATCCTCTGTCCACCGCCTACACACTTATTTCTTCTTCCCGCCGCCATGGCTCCCTCCAGTGTACTGCCCATACGCATCCCACAGACCCCCTGCCAGACAATCAGGGCAGAAATATGCGCTAACGTCCAAGGTACGGCTCTTCACGTTCGAACGCGGGACCTGTATCGGGTGGCGTTGCCCGTTGTCACAAATTTCGAAAGGTTTAATCTTGTGTAAGAGGCAGTGGTCGCAGGAATAGCGCGTGGTGTTTTGCCAACACATTTTGGAGAATTGTTTGCTTGCTTCGGAGTTCGTGAGGTCTTGTTTCTGGGTTAATTGTGCGGTTTTTGATGAAGTTTCGAGGTTGGTTATGAGGCAGATGTAGGGGTTATTATATGATTACAGTGCGGGCAAGAGGATGAGTTGGTGGGCTTGCGAGGATGTGAGTGATGCATGAAGGGAGCTTGATGTGGCTATTGAGATGACTGTTGTGAATATACCCCAAAGATGGGTTGGTCAGAGTCTACAAGGTTGCTGTCATGATAGGGCAAAGAGACAGCGATGAATTGACCCGGATGGATTATGTGGTGAATGCAGTGGCAGGTTGTCTGCCGTAGTATATTTTTGATACTTCTCTTGAGAACGTGGCAGGCTGGTGAGTGTACGGTACTAAATTGAAGCTTGCGACTCTTAAGACTGACGTGGAGCGCCAATAAATGTAGTCAAATGCTATAGGCGCCACTATAGAGTTACACAGAAGACTCAAGCTGGAGTCAGCACTTGAGGATAGCATCATACTATACAAGGATATATAATGGTATGAATATAAGTTCGTGGTGCTGAATATAAAACCCCATGGGTAGCTCTTGTCTGTAGATGAGTGAGGGTTTGTCTCAACGCGGCTGTACCTCGCTAGCGGAACACGTGATCCAGTCTCGACTGCTGGTGAGTCACTGTTCTCCCGTTGCGACGAGCGTCATCGCTCCGCCAGGGCCCAAGATGTAGAAATCTGCCACAGCAAGACCCAGGAAGACAAAAATCGTGCGAATATGCAATAGTTGCCGAACCTGTTGTGAGCGAAAGACGAAAGTTAGCATGCGATGCGGCTTAGTATCACCATGCGAGACTGACGGTACGAAGTGGGACCAGAAAAAGCCCACCTGCGGAACACGTGTGATTCTGAGGAAGCCTTGTACGAGGGTTACCCAGCGTTCAGGTTTCCCAATGTAGTGGTGGAGCCTGAAAGTCCCCTAACGGCGGTCGGAGAATCGAGCGGCGGCGGCGGCTCCAGCCTATGCCCAATCGACCATCCAAACATGGACCAGATGGCACCGTACCTATCTAGAATTCATGATCTGGCCGAATCCTCACAGCGTTCCGAACGAGATCTTACGCATTGGTACAGCTACTGCCTACCATCCCTTCATCCGATCTTCCTTTGTCTCTCCGAGCTTGCTAACGATCAGCCGATGCTCAAGAAATCCATCCTGGCCTTTTCATCATGTCAGATCAGTTGCTCCTCATCATAGGCCTGGATTCCTCGTCTCAACGTTTCCTGAATGTATCGTGTTTGGTTTGTTTTCGAAACCCCCGATAAGAAACCACAGTCTTCTCCTTACATCATCCCCGACGCCAACATTGTGGAACAGAATCCTCATGTCCAAGGTACAATAGCGGACCCTGACGCGAGACGCGAAACCCTAACCCTCAAACATGAAGTGCTGGTTGTTTTTCAATTAGCTTTCCTCTTTCCTGGGATGTCTTTGACCTTGTAGATTGCAAATCTCAAACCGAATTGTGCACTTGCAGAACAGGGAGGGGACGCTCTGGTAGCCCTACGTTCTATCCTTAGTCAGCAAGATATGTTCAACTGCACAGGATCTGTGCTCCACATTACGAATACATACATCTATTAATGTTCTGCTGCGTTCACTGTTGCGCCCTCGTTCATAACGTCTCCAGTTGTGATAGCTCTCCAGGGGGTCATACGGATTATTGGTGTCTATCTCAGACATCGTGATTTGGCTCTCGGAGCGTCCATTACGCCGGATGAACGTCCGTAGTCCTTTGAGGGTGGCGGTTATCGTAGGTGATTCTAGGAATGCTCTGCTCCTCACCAGTTCAACCCTCGCATCTGCATGACTCGTAGACCTTCTGCCCCGAATCACTCGCTTCAAATAGAGGAAAGCACGAGTAGACCGATTTCCTCGGCGGGGCTTCTCGTTATTCGTGGGGCGCGCGAACATGGTGCGAAAGGCGGTGATCTCCCCCGTGAACACCGCAATGCTACACTCGATGTGCCGGAAGATTGTGCTCCAGACTACACTGTATGTGAGTACTCCCGCTGAATCGCGGGTGAGTCCCCCAGCCAGTCCCGCAATAGAGAAGGCGACCATTACCACGCTCAGGCATAAGAACGTCAGGATTCGTAGTTTATGGGTCTGTCTGAGCTTGGTCTTACGGAGGAGGAGAACGGGTATTGATGTAATCAACAGGTCCGTCAAGATACTTGTCGCCGCTTTGATTCCACTGATCAGATAGTTGTACCTTGGCTGGTGGAAGCATGTCGCTACACATCCCTATTAGCATGTGTTATCCAAAAAAATGTGGCGCTTGTACGTACGGCTTTTGCTTACGCCACACTTTATGATATTTTGATTTGCGTGAAAAAGCCAAGAAGCTATCGTGAAGCTCATCACAGACCACCAGTATATGCTCAACTTTCTTGATACGTCTCCGATCAGTCTCCGGAACAGCGCGAGGAAGGATATTTTATCATGTACTCTGTTGTTGCCGCAGTCGCTATCCATATATTGGTCCAGAGAAAGAGGCGATTTTGAACCTCCAAGATCTCACTAGCTGTGAACAAGACAATGTTCAGTGGATCGATCGCCAGCAATGTCGTGATAAAAATCATATCCAGTTTGTAATAAAGAATAGCAGTCTCAACGACTAGACAAATTGTTGCAAATATCACGATGTAGTCGTCGACAAACAGCCTCCTACATATTTGAGTTCGTATGACGATGCGGACTACGACCGCGAAAATCGCAATTCCTGCGAGAGGCCCGACGACAACCTAGATGGAAGTCAGTCGATTCTCGCTGCTGGGAAAGATTATTGCATACTTCAGCGGCTGGTCTGGAGACCTTTCCTGGATGTGCAATCTTCCAATCACGTTCTGGCTTAGGTGGAACGACAGTCGGTAGTGCACTGACGAGGGCCGTTAGGTCGGCCATATTGTTGCTCTTGAAAGCGGAAGGTGAAGAAAGATTCAACTACAACAAATACATGCTTCGGGCATGGTTAAATCAACTGGGATATTGCATACACTCCGCGCTGTCGTGTGAATAAAGCAGGTCCAGGGCGAGCAGAAAACGCTATAAGGTTGGTTCTTTTCGACGCCTGGGTTTGCGGCTGAGACATCCCCACGGATTGTTGGCTGTTGTTCGTTTGCCTTTCGGTTGCCTTGCAGTTGCCTCAACGGTGTGTGGCATATAGATTGTTTGGGGTCGCACAAGGTCAGCTCGGGATCCGAAGTGGGTGCCTGATTCCATACCGATGAAAAAGTTTATACCTCAGTACGCTTTCGTTTCGAGATCTAGTTCCTACGCAGAATTGATCATGCCATCGGGACGGTATAGTAGCCATAAGGCATTTTTGATCGTCTTCTCGGGCATTAAACGATTGAAATAAACACTCTCCTTCTACGTCAATGTTTCTCGCTACCTAATACCCACATCGCGATAAAGTCAAAACCTCAGGTGTAGTCTATTACGAAGACACACCAATTGTTTCCCCCATCACACGAATCAAGGCGCTCGGGTATTGCTACCGGGTCTCCACCATTGTGATGAAGAATCGGCTGGGGCTCTTGTATGCACAAAATCACTCGGATTACAAAAATGTTGAATAATCGCTCATAACGCCAACATTTCGAATAGCTCGGATGGGTATCATTCTATCTAGTCTCTATCATCAAGGCTCTTTTCTACGGCTACTATCAGGAATTCATCACCTCCTCGAAAGGGGTATAGTGAGAAGCGAGGGCATATAGGTTTGTCGTAGGTCACGTGAATACTAACGCCAGCCCATCACTACGATGAGAGTATTGATCACCCATTTCTTGAGAGTGATCTTCTGTGGGGCGACTAAATACTGTAGAACGGAATGGAAGACTAACCATGGGTCTTTTTGTACATGATTTGGGCCTATCAAGTACTTTGGTGTTTCCAGTGATTCGTGACTTGGTGGATTCGGAATGCAACGTTCCCTCCGATCCATGAGACGGTCACGTGACCTTCACAAATGCTTAGGTCGTGGCCTGTTTCCTCGCCGTTAATTCCTTCGGCGAAATACTGTTCTCGCCTTCCTCGCCCTGTCTCAAGTCGCTGAAATGACCGGTTGGGGGCCGTGATCTTCGGCACAGCTGTGATAGATCTTTCTTACCTACTACACCTAAACCGTGTGACTAGCCTGGAATACTACTCTTTTCTTCTCGCTCGTACACTCTTGCATAGCATCGATGCAATTCCCTTGTAAGTCTAACGATCGCTTCTCTGCTATCTTTATCGGCCTGTGATGATGAGTTTCCTGTATACCAAGCCTTATCAATAGCGCTTATGCGGTGTGAAAGACTGTGCCGCATTTACCCTTGTCTCAAGCTCAGCATCCTCAACACTGCGTTTTGCATGGCGCTCCGCCCCCAACCGCGGCCCGGGATGCAGGACGCGCACAAGCGCGATGCAACACATTTTCACGCGAACGTACAGCCATACCTACTCACTCTTACTTAATTATCAGCAGGGAGATGATTGACATCTAAATGACGGCCTTTTTCGGCTCTGCCTTGATCGAGTTTATCAGCAGTCTACAAGAACTGCAAGTCTACAGAAAAGGAAGGCGTTCGACTGTATTGTGTTTCATAAAAGCGCCAAGCTCCTAAGTGCGTCACAATACGAGCGCGACGCTCGTACTCGACGCTTAACATTCGCTGATACAAAGTGTAACCGAAAGGGTGTTCTGCAATCATGTTTGAACTAGGAGTATGCCCTCTGCAGTTTGCGTTGCAGATCACGAAGCTTGGATACCAGTTTGCCCTCTCCCACTCACAAAGTCTATCTCCATTGGATCAATCGAGAGTCTGAGCTTAGGGATGTATGTTTGATGTTTCGCACACACCTATAGTTAGAATCCGATACAGTATCCGCAGCGCTTGTGCCGCAGGGCGCATTTTGTGTCGAGAGGGGTGAATGTTACAGCCTTAGGAATGTTGCGCCTTATAAATCGCCATGTCACTATACAAAGGATGTAGCCAGTATCTTCATCGTTCAGTCCTTCAAGTATTCCTCCTACAACCACAAATTTCTCTCTCATAATTAAAGTGTCCCCCAGCAATTGTCCTCACGTGGCATATGAGCTATGTCTTCTATAACCACCGAATCTGACTCTTTGGATCAGCTCCAGTCTCCAGAACAGGTGGAACTCTTAGACGCCATCGACAAACTTCGAAACCAAGGATTGGGCCACCACAATATAAGCCTCCCACAACTTATCGTTTGCGGAGACCAATCGTCTGGGAAAAGCTCTGTGCTAGAGGGGCTTACCAGGCTCCGTTTCCCGACCAAAGACGGCTTGTGTACGACTTTTGCAACTGAGCTTATCCTGAGAAAGCGAGCAGTCACGGAGATTCATTGCTCTATCAACCCAAGACAGGACCGATCCCAACCCGAAAAAGATGAAATCGCCAAGTTCAATAGATCTTTTGCCTCTTCCGAAGAGTTCGCATTTCCTTCGCTCTTCGAACAGGCTCGCGAGCAAATGGCGTTTGGCACTTCCTCGGAACGAAGCCAGTTCTTTGAGGATGTCCTGCAGATCAGATATTCCGGACCCCATCTTCCTTCGTTGACCATCGTTGACTTGCCCGGCATTATACAGTCTGAGATTGAGACCGGACAAGGCGTCATGCTGGTCCGCAACCTTGTGGAGAGCTATATGCGCGACGAAAAGTCCATCATACTCGCTGTTGTATCAGCTCGCAATGACCTTCAGAACCAAAGTGTGCTCGACTTCGTCAAAAAGCACGATCCAAGTGCCAGTCGCACATTGGGAATCATTACGAAACCAGACAGTTTGGATGTAGGGTCCGAGAGTGAAAACCTGTTCTCAAAGCTAGCAAGAAATGAGGCCGTTCCACTGAAGCTGGGCTGGCATGTTGTGAAGAACCGGAGTTTCGGCATGAAAGAGCAGTCGGACGCAGAGCGTGACGAGTCAGAGAGACAGTTCTTTGCGACTGGAGTCTGGACCTCGATCCCTCGCACAAACGTTGCTATTGATGCCTTGCGAACTAAGTTGTCTCGAGTTCTGCTCCAACATATCCGTAAAGAGCTTCCATCTCTCAGCACCGCTATACAAGATGCAATCTCTTTGGCGGAAACCGATCTCAAAGCTTTAGGGAGCCCACGACATGAGCCGCAGCAACAGAGGAATTTCCTGATGGGAAAAGCACAGAAATTCCATTCCCTAACGCTGGACGCGCTGAGAGGATTATACAACGAAGAGTTCTTTGAGGTCTCTTCGTTCCATGTCATCCCACCCACCCGTCTACGCACTCAAATACAGGATCTCAACTTAGCATTCGCATGCGCAATGTACAGTAAAGGCCATCAGTATCATATTGTCGACGGCCAAGTTTCTCCGGACCTAGGAGCAAATTTTCTGGCTTCCAATGCGACTCACAACTACAATTGTCTCCCGAATCCAATCTGGATAGATCTGGCCAAGTTCCTTGAAGAGCGCATTGGAACCCAAGTGCGGCTCAGCCGGCCATCAGGCTTACCTACTCTTGTCAATCCTTGGGTCATTGGTGCAGTATTTCGTCAGCAAGCGAAGCCTTGGGAGGCTATTGCTCGACAGCACATAAGCGACATCTATGAGGCAGTGCAAGCCTATCTAGAGGAGAGCTTGAGCAGCATGATGGACAGTGAAACGTTCGATTCGTTGATGCACGAGCATGTAGAGCCTGAGCTTGAGAGAAGGCGGGCGCAGCTGGACAAGAAATTGACTGAACTGCTCACTCCTTATCAGAAACAAGAGCCCATCACATACGATCCAAGCTTCATCAACGACTTGAAGCAGGTCAGGTCTAAACGGTATTTTGGATCAAGCAATCAATTTTCTTTCGGTGGACCGCAAAAAATCTCCACACCTGAAACCCAGCTCCTAACAGAGTCGTTGGACGACTTCACCAACGTAGACATCCTGAATCTTATGCAGATCTATTACAAGGTCAGTGGATTACAGGCTATTATGAAGAATAGAAGGCTGACTTGCTGTGTAGAAAGCCATTTCGGTGTTCATCAGCAATGTTACAGTCCTTGCGATCGAGAACTGCCTTATCACAGATCTTCCATCGCTCTTGGACCCGGAGCTTGTGCTCAACATGGACGAAGAGAAGCTCCAAGTGATCGCAGCAGAGTCTGACGAGATACGCACCGAGCGCACTGCCCTGCAGAAAAAATTGGCTGACCTGAAAATTGGCAAGGGAATTCTAGGCGCCCAAGCACGCAAGTCAGGAAGTACGTTTTTCCGCATAACAACTTATTACCCATTTCAGTCTCGCTGACGGCAGAACAGTCACGCGCAACGCCACTCGGTTGCAGAAAGCTGCGGCCCCGACTCCAACTCCCCAAGCTCCAAACTATAGGCCGATGACTCCGCCGGACCAAATAGCTCCGACTGCCCCTGTTGATCCAGGTGAGGGTCCAATCCACAGCTAAATACTAAGAGAGAAAAACACGTGCTAATTGAATTCGAACTAGTCGACAATCTCGCGTCGAGCTTCCACAACATAAACGTCAATCCACCTCCAACCACCAAGGGTCCGCTTACAACACAGACTGGAAACTCGCCAGCAACACCTCCAAAGTCCCCCAAGGCTGCCACCAAGCCGTTGAGTCCGTGGGTGATGCGTTCGAGTACCGTAGAGTCCCTAGATGAGGACTAATCGGGACTATTCTGTTGCAGTGGATGATTGTTGAGGGTGATCCTGCATTTTTAGTTTTACTAGCTGTACTATAGTGGATTGGAGCAATACTATCTCAAAGAGGGACATTTTAGACAAAAGCCTTTTCAGGGCTTTCCGTTAGGACCACACCTTAGGCGTTCTGGAAGGTCATGTTACAGTATATAGACAGTTAGCTCCGAGAGCTGCTATTATGATCGAAAGCCTGAATTCAAAAGCATGAATATTTCTGGGTTGGCAGGTCCACGTTTTGGTCCAGTACATCCATCCTCTCCCTCCACGACGTTCGCATATCTAATATGCGAACACTAATAAGCCATTTGACCTAACCGACCTGTTATGTCCAAATGTATTCTGAGGGTAGCACTGCAGACGGATTCGATAAAATGGTCCGACATCTTCGGGCGATTCTACGGCCGTGCTACATTGGAGAGATGTGCAATATGATGTCTGCTAGTTTCAAAGACCCCGAGGACTTTGTTGCATGTTCATGGATCTAACTACTCGAAATAACAGAAAAACAGCTTCTGGCTTTTGGGCCTACGCTAATGTGTCCTGAATCAGTCAAGAGCAACGTGCTAGACCATCGCTTCGAAAACCCACTTTTACATTTATACAAAACGCATGAACTCCCACCGAAGTCCAATCAAATCCCATAACTCTCCGTCCATGAGCCCGTGAATATAACAAGCTCCAATTATTTCCCATCGATCACCTGCGAGCCTTACGACGAGTGGCATTCTCATGCCTTTGAAAACGCAAAGTGCATCTCCAATCTGCGTGCGGAAAGGGACCCAGCCAATCCTACCATGTTGGGATACAAAAAATTGTCTTGCATATCGCACTCTGCCTTCAGCTTGCTCAAAAGGCTCAGCCAGCTCCTTGAGTATTCCGACACCAAGTGCCCAGGCCATAAGGTCATACTGCCAGCGTTTTGCCATCTGCAGCTTTTTCAAGAGGTACCAATATCCGAAGGCGACCCCCAACTCGTCATCGGCCGGCTGATTTGGAGATGTGTGATGAAAGCGTGGCCCACGATTGTAAACAAGTGTTCGCCAAAATGCATCGAAAGACTGTCCATCCGTAATGCTTCCTCGAGGGTCTAATGAAGGATCTGCGAGAATCCTAATCTCTGACAACCAATGGACCATGTCGGTTTCATACTTGGACCATAATGTCAATGCAGTGCGCTTGTCGATGCGACCAACCCTTATGTGCTGATCTGACGAGGGCAATCTTGGCCGGTCGCTAGCGACAACCCGGACTTGATCAAAGATGGCTCCTTTGATCTCTATCTCCTGGACTCACTAGTGAGTCTATTGTATAGCATGGTATCTATATTTAGAATCTACTCACATTAGGAACACGAATTTCCCAGTGACTCGTAGACAAATTCGGTCGTTCATAAAACTGTTGATCCATGCGAACTTCTGGGGCTGGTATAGTCCTTTTCCCTTGCAAGTTTAGACTATTATAAAATCCCGTCATTAGTAGACCGGGGCTATGAGGCGACACTAAATCGGGAACCCAGGAAGGGATACCCAATCTGTGGTTTTGGGGATTTGCGTGGAATGCCAACCATTCAATGAGGAATCTATGCTCTTCGGGGCTTTCCTCAAGCACCAACATTTTGGTACCATCTTCTGTAACTTCGTAGTTGGGTATCCCTAGCAAGGTCATTTTGCCGACGAGACAAGCAAGGTCTGTGAATGTTTTCTTGTAGGATATGAATGCGTCTGAAATACCAGAAGAAACACCAGTAAGCGCAAAGAACCTATCCCGATGGTCCGTAGCTCCCATTCCCGGGTATCTCGATAACGTGTCGTAAATTGGAAGTGCGCCTTTCTTCTTGAAATCATAGTAGCCCTCTGCAATGCTTCGAGCCATGAGAGCGGACACTTTGGGGCTGCCCATCAATACGTCGTAATTTTCGTAGAGGTTTCGATGTCGCGCAATCTGTATGGCTGCCCATAGCACTACCTCCGTGTTGAAGTCCAGAGATCCCTTCCACATGATAGATCCTCGGGCCATTAGAAGTTCTTGAACAACCCAAACTCGACTGAACCAAGTGTTACTAATGACTCTGAAAAGCGCGTTCCATTCAGAGTTGAACCTAGGATCAGGTACTCCCCTAGATCTGCAATCAAAGTCGTGGAAGTCATAACGACCGACATCTGCATCATATCGAGACCCATCACACTTTTGGTATAAGGTTTTGGCGAGATTTAGGCCTTTCCAATCTTCAGGTTGTTGTTTTCCTAACCAGACGATGACGCGGTTGGCTTGGGCGTAGATTTTCGACATCAACCGAACTTGGCATGTCTTCTCCTCGGTGTCATCTTGGTTGATGCAAATCTGATCAGCCCAAAGTAAGCCTACAGACCTGCGATGACGCCTCTCTTGTAGAGCAGCATGGAGATTAGCGCCAATTTCCATTGATTGACCATCACATCTAATTCGGATTTTGTCGGTTTGTCCTCCCCACACATAGGAAAGTGCTTCAAACTCGGATCCGTCGAGGTTGCATTCCAACAGCTGAATTGACAGAATGCTCTGTCTACCGTCCGGGGTGATCTTTATAAGCCGAATCCTCTTTCCCTGTAGCGTTCGATGATAGGCAAACGCACCCATCATAATTCCATGGTTTCATCTGTTCGTGGGATTGAAGAAGAGGTACAAACCATAAACATTTCAAGTCCAGCTCTGAAGGTCTTGGGAGTGACTGCCTAGATGTAGATGATGTAGATATGCCGATCCTCGCTTTCCGGTGAGACCTCGGGATCCTTGACCGATAGATGTTCCCACTTCCGGTGAGCTTAACATGTACCTGCGGCATTAATCTTATTAGATGCTTCGTCCGATGAGGGCATTTCAAAGTACCGAAATATGTTTTTTTCACGTTCCATAGATTTTACCCATTCAAATCAGGGGGTCCCCTCAGAAGCTTTTGGGGTTGCGCCACGTAACACGCCACTAAGCGAACGTTTACTGCTTTCATGCCTGATCGACCAGCTCTATCCACCTGACATCTAGGGCGCACTTCCTCGTTAGTGATATTCGAATGCTTGTCCGAGTGCTTGGAAGCTTTCGAATGTTTGGAGGCTTTTTGGGGTGATAGAACTCTCATGAGCTACGCAGAGCTGCATTCAATGTAGAGTAACCACTGATGGTATTGCGTCATTATCAGCCAAAGCAACGTACTAGCAATGTGGCACGGCTGTTGCTTAGTATAAAGAATTTCTTGATAACACTAACTTGCGCCTGTTGACCATGCAGCTACTATAATATGCGGAGTTCTGCAACATTGCCACCCCGGTTGGTACCTTGAACGCAAGCGAGCAAGCGAGCAAGAGACAAGATACCATAGTTTACATAACCGTTGTATTGTAGAAATCTCGACGAGGTTCAATGAGACAGAGTTAGATTCGCCTAATGACTACGATAGCAGCACGAATAGTACTCCTTGAAAACGAGCGAGCAGTTTCTTGAAGCGGCGTACGGCTGCGATTATCCACTCGTACTGCCTTAACGTATGTGCCTCGGTAGATGAGCTCGCGAATGGAGCACTGCCCTTGCTTCCCTTCCGCTGTAACGCCAATGAATCAAAACCCGGCCCCAGTCTTTCGCATTTCGCAATTCAGAATCAGAAAACTGATTACACCTAGATGCGTTGACGACCTAGGATCTCACCCCCACGTGGAGTGGAGCACACCATCGCATGATTTCACCTCGTGAGACTCCAGGCAACTAACGCCGCGCGGCTTAGGCAACAAGCACGTTATCCAGTTATTCCGGTATACGGCATTCAAGGAAAATATTGTTCCTCAGAGCAATTTCCAATGGCGAATGCTTTGATATAGTTGTTTGAAAATTCTTCCACTTCATACATTTTCAAACATGAGAGTACCTATGCTGCCTTCCTAGACTTCCTACCACGAAATCTCAATCATGGCATCCAACACCCAGACAACGCCCAGTCATGCTGCCCCTAATACTTCGGCCTCAATCGCCGCCAGAGGCAACGAAATCACCGGCCTCGACATCTTCCGCCCCACAACCGAAGTCATCACAAATGAACGAGTGATGGAGCTCATGTCCCAGATGCACGCCGACATCCCCTCAAGTGGCGAAGACAACCCCTATGGTCCATTATCCACCCACGTCCTGCGCTACTGAAAACCCAATCTCCCCGCAGTGGGAAAGAGAAAGCCTCCAATCATTGCCTTCATCCACGGCGGAAGCTGGCGCGTAGGAACATATCTGGATTCAATTGGCTCGAAGAAGATAGAGCACTTCTTAAGAGCAGGATACGCATTTGAAAGCGCGAACTACACCCTCGTACCTCACGTGAGCGTGCAAGAGCAGGTCCAAGAAGTCGCGAATGCTGTATCCTACCTTTTCCAGCACGCAGAGAATCTGGGCTTTGACGCCGACCGTATCGTCCTGATGGGTCATAGTTCCGGAGCTCACGTCGCTGCTCTACTAGGCACCGACACTACGTACTTAGCCAAAGCAGGCGTGGAAATAGACAAGATAAAAGGCGTTATTACCCTGGACGCCTCGAACTTCAATTGCGCAGCCGAGATCCTTGACTCCCCTGGTCCTGTGGCGGATAACATGCTCGCTGGACTAGGCTCAGATCTTGCCCATCTAAGAGACATGAGTCCTACCTACCATGCTCAAGCGCCTAATGCGAGAGGGTTTCTTCTGCTCCAAGTGCAACGGCAGGGAGATATTAGGCAGGCGGTGGAGTTTGAAGCTGCGTTGTTGGCGGCGGGGACGGAGGTTGAGATGAGGGTTGTTGAGGGCGAGTCTTTCGAAGGACATATCGCCATGCTCTTGCGACTAGGCGACGATAAATATGCTGCGACAGCGGTAGTAGATGAGTGGCTAGCGAAACACGTGCTTATAGAATGATGTAGTGGGTGTTGACTTGGCTATGTCTACAACGACGACCTAGAGGCTCAATATGGTTGCCTATCCCACATCATCTGTAACATGCGATATTGTGCTATCCTTTACTATGGGCCCATTGTCAAAGTAGCATAATAGAGCGGGGAATCAACAAACACATAGGGGTATACGACTGCGCACATCTGCCTAGGATAGTAGGTATCAAGACAACACACACTTACTATCCACCCTTGCCCATTTCAAGTTGCCTTCGCCAGAGATACACGTGCTAGATAGATCGTGCTTCACAATAGAACTAATACTGCGAGTCGATTCAGCTTCACCACGCTTTCAGACCAGAAGATATATATAAGAGCGATCCCGCCCTAGGGATTCCCCTTCGCACAAACATCTCTCCATCCGCGCATACACGAAAACGAGACAAATTTAACACAATGTGCTTCCAGGTTAAGTACCGCCACTCCTGTAAACATGTCCGCACATTCGGACTCGTTCGGTGCCAAGTCGCCATCGAAACCAATTCCCCGCGCCACATGTTCGACGTGAGCCGGCGCAATAACGACAAACTCTGTCACCCTTGTAAGTATGAAGGGGTAAACGAAGAGAGTTTAGACAAGCTATCAACGGAGAGGAACTGCGCTAATTCTGTCATTAGGTTTGGCGCAGCTGGGGAAGAAGTTGAAGCAGGTACAGGAGAAGCAGTAGGACGGGGGCTGGAAGTGGCAATTGAAGCGCGGTCGTAAGTTGGCCTTCAAACACTGAGACGACATGCTAAGCTATGTTAGAATGAGTGAGCGGTGAGAAGGCACGATCAGAGGCGAGAAGGAGGGTCCGAAGATGGATCACGGGATGAATGGACCAAAAGTACACGATAATGAATTTCAAATTCAGAGCACAAGCGGTACTACATGACCTCTTCCACGCCGAGCAGTGCAACGAGTTCCAGCCAGTTATCCTGTTTGAGCACCGTGGTGCCCCTAGCCTCTTTGAAGTTCTCCGCGCAGGGATCGAAATTGCATTCGACATACGACCATCCAGGCTCCCACAGTATCCTCTGATCTTCATCACCGTGGATAAGAATCGCGTTGGGGATAGGCTGATTCGTAGTAATAACAGGGGCCGAATGTGGCTCAATGTCGCAGGTGCCAGGCCTGGTCGGGAGACTTTGATATAGTGTGGGTGGGTATCGAGGGATTTGGCGTCTGCGATCGACTGTACCAGATGGGACAAGTCCTTTGCGTGGACCGAAAGTCGGGCTGAGTGGAGAAAGCTCATCCCGTGATGTTGTGGACTGGTTATCCTGATGCGGGTTCGCGCGTAGGCATCTCGTTCCAAGCGATCTCTCATCCTCGTCGCGCGATAGGCGCGACGGCAAAGACGGTCGGGACATCGACATTGTCAAAGAGATTACTCTGTGGCGATGATTCTTTTGTGTTGGTCCCACAAGTCCGATACTGCTGTCTTGAAGCTGAGCACAAGACCGTGTGAAGTGGTTTTGTTCTGGTATTTGTGTTCCGCAATTCAGATATTTCGAGGTGTTTGGCGACGATCTTCAGCAGCGCGCCCCACAGTTATACCCACGGTGCTCTTCTAGGAAGTAGATGAGTGGGAGGAAATAAAAACTGTTGCCCAGCGTCGGTGTTTCATTTTACGCTTGCAGGATAAGAGACCTTCGTAAGACCGGTGCGTCGGAAACCAATCGAGACGTCCGTGGGGTACTGTCTGATGTTGACACCAAATGAGCGGAACAACAGGAGGTGACATGTTTCAAATGGATGCGTCATGTACGTTTGCGGGCGGCCTCGCTTTGTGGTACCACTGTATCGGGATCCTGGACTTCCATATGTTTCGTGATGTCTGCGGGGCTGTTCTTTGTTTAGATCAACCATACGATATGCGTCGCCATCGGAGTTTGTTGTGTGGAATGCCCGTTCTGTCCAATACATATTCACACTTTCAACCGTGTTGTCGCATGACATGTGCCCGGGTCCCCATCGATGCTCTTATGATTAGTGGATAGGGCAGGTCTTGCCGGGCGAATTGGCACCCCTTTCCACATATGGATTCATAGTTACTGATCATGAGACCGTTCCACATCGGCAGTCGCTGGCGAATCGCCCATTAGGTAGAGCAGGTCGTGGTGCGAGAGCCAAGGCATTTGAGGAAACTGCCAGGTGCCGTCCCAGTTGCCGTGCGACCTATACGCAGATGCTTTCGTGAACTGTTGATGATCGTTTCTTCCAACATATCCAACCTCCGGACGTCGATCATCGGGCGGAGAAGATAATGCTGCCCGATTTCGGAGAATGCCGTTTCCCCTACTCGCTACCGCTACCACTCTCACTCTCCTCTCCCTCATCGACTTGCGCCAACACAGCATCGGGCTCCGCTCTCCTCTCTACGGCCTGGACCACGCCATCCATGATCAAATCTTTCTTCCCTGCCTCCATCTCTTTGGCGCGCCTAATGATCCCCTTCGCTCTTCTGATAACCTCCTCTTCTGCCTTCCTTATCGTCCCGCTCACTCTAACAACCTTGATAACGATAGGCGTATCGACCGGTCGCGGCAGCTTTGTGGTGAGCGTAAGCGCCGCCCATACCATCTCGTAGTGTTCGCGCGGGCAGCGGATTATGGCGGTCGAGGTTGCGGGGGACCAGTACGTGACTGTCTACCATTAATCGCGACACAAATATTCGATTGAATGGATTTACCTTTGAGAGTCCGACTCGCCATGCCCATCCCATAGTCGCCAAACAGCTCTGCGACGCCATCCCTCACGAGGCGCACAAGCTGCCCGATGTGGAACGCATCCGGTGTCGGCGCGTGGAACTGGAGGAGCTCTGGCACGGCGTCTCCAGCCTTAGCTGCTGTACCCAAAGTCGGGTAGAGGATATTCACAACCAAATAGCGGTTCTTGACGCGGACCATGGTGGATCAATTGCACGGGTTCGTTACTTCATGCTTGGAGTGGTGGGATGCGAAAGTCCACAGCTCAGCCCTACAATAATTGCAAGCCGAGGCGCTGCGGCGCGCGTTCCCCGTTGGGGGCTAGTGCGATACGCAAGATGACGCTGCACCGCTGAACCTCTGCGAGGCAGCCACAACTCTCTCCACTCGCATCAACAACGCCCAAACAACAGCGCCCGCTTGCAACCCTTTGCACTCAGCAACCCACACCTTGCGCCCTACCGAATCGCATCGTCAATCGCACTACCTGCATCCCGAGGACGGCGCACAGCCCGCCACTCACACGACCATGGCCTCCTCATCCAGCAGCTCAACGCAGCTCCTCTAGTACGTCTACCGCTCCCCCAGACATGACATCCCTTCACCTCCTCTCAAATCATACTCACCCTCCCCTCCGCCCCATGTACTCTACTAACGCCCCTCCAGCGCCGGCATAGCCCACAACACCAAAATCCTCGCCGAGCACACCGCCCGCCCCTCCTCAAACACCTCCTCCCTCCTCTCCGTCATCCTCCCCAAACTCACCCACGACCACGCAGAACACAAAACCCTTGACGTAGACCCCTACTTCGCGCACTACACACGTTATCTCCGTCTGCGCTGCCGCCGAACCACCACGCTGCAGGCGGTCTGACCTTCCTAGTCGTAGCGGAGAAGCAGCTGGGACAGAGAATTCCCTTTGGGTTTTTGACGACGCTGGAGAAGAAGTTTTTTGAGGCGTTCGATGCGACTACCGACTTTGGGGGGTTGCCTAGTTATGGGTGTGCGAGTTTTAATGGGGTGATGCGCGGGCTTATGGTTGAGATGGGGGGGACGGCGTCGGGGAAGGACGATGCGTTAAGGACTGCTCAGCGCGAAATAGAGGGCGTGCGGGAAATCATGACGGAGAATATTGAAAGGGTGTTGGATCGGGGGGAGAGGCTGGATCTGCTGGTTGATAAGACAGGACGGCTGGGGGACACGGCGAATGAGTTCCGGGTGAGGAGTCGTGGGCTGAGGCGGCGGATGTGGTGGAAGAATGTGAAGCTCATGGTGCTGTTGGTGATGGTGGTTATCTTTCTGCTGTACCTCTTCGTTGGATTCGGGTGCGGGTTGCCTGCGTGGGGACGCTGTCTGCGGAGGTAGGCTTGCGCGTGCTTGCGCGCGCTTGCGTGGAAAGGTGACTGGGGTGTACCTCTCATTTCCTTTCTTTTCGAAACGTTGAAACTCGACTAAGCAAGCGTTGCATACACATACTGGACGGCAGATTCTCATACTGTACTTATACCAACTGGCGTCAAGGAGTGATATAAACATCAATCTCTTCATGAACTATGCACCACTCCCAGTCCAATCCAATCGACTGTGTCTCTATCAACGCCGCCCAATGCACTTCCCAAACCGACCTTTCGTCAGATCCAATGCACATCCCAATCCATGCTCCCAATGATCTCCCCGTGTACATGGTACGAGTAAGTAATCCGCCCTAAAAGCCCAGACCACCCAGCGCCCCACAAAAGACCGCAAAACACCAAAACCCCCTCTTGAAAAACCGAAATAGCTCCCACCCAGCCCCGATAAACGCAAAAGTACGTCCAAGAAAAAATGAAATAGGTCCCCCCAACCCCGTAAATGCAATACGTACAATCATACAGTGGTCATCTCTACATGTGAAAAACCACGGGCCACAACTCCGGTCTAATGCTTGAGCCTATATATCTAGACGAAAGAACGAACGACAAGAAAAAACGCCCTTTCTCTGGAGTGAAATGCAAAGATGATGCTTTTGGTAGGTAGGTGTGGTGTATAGTGAAAAATCGACAAGCAAGTGAAACGCCCCGTCCAAATCGTAAGTAGTCTACGCAGCCATGACCATAGCGAGCAGCGCCATGCGAGTGTACAATCCGTACCTCATCTGCGTTCCGTTAGCCATTGTCCATATCACGAATATACACACTGTACTCACCTGTCTGAAATACGCCGCCCGCGGGTCAAAGTCCACCTCTTCGTGGATCTCGTTGTTCCTTGGCAGAGGGTGCATGACGATCATGTGGTCCTTCGCCGCCTTGAGCACCTTGTTGTCGATGACGAACGCGTCCTTTGTGCGCTCGTAGCTGGCGAGGTCGGCGAAGCGTTCTTTCTGCACGCGTGTGCAGTACAGAACGTCTGACTTGGCGACGATCTCGGGAGTGAGCTCGTTGGAGATGGTCGAAAGCTGGCCGCGGGACTTGAGTGCGTCGCGTACGGAGTTGGGCATTGGGAGCTCCGCGGGGGAAACGAGGTTGATGGTGACGTCGTAGTGGGAGAGGAGCTCGCAGAGAGAGTGTACTGTACGGCCGTACTTGAGGTCGCCGACGAAGGTGATGTTCAAGCCGTTGACAGTTCCCAATTCTTCACGGATGGTGAAGATATCCAGAATGGCCTGGGTTGGGTGCTCGCGGCTTCCGTTGCCGGCGTTGATGATGGGAACCTCGGAGAACTTAGTCGCAATTTCGATGGCCTCCTCTTGCGGGTGACGGAGGACAATTGCATCACCGTAGCAACCAAGAGTGCGGATGCTGTCGGCAATGGACTCGCCCTTTTGTGTGGAAGATACTGTCTCATTGATGATAACAACTTCTCCACCCAGGCGCTTCATGGCAGCGTCGAACGATGACGACGTGCGCGTCGACGGCTCGAAGAACATGGTGCACAGGACACGGCCCTTCAGCACATCGAGACATCCATACTTTTGGGCCCCAAGTCGCATTTCCGAGGCGATGGTGAAGAGGAGATGGAGGTCTGCACGGCTGAGTTGCTTGACGGAAGTGATGTGCTTTCCCTTGAAAGGCGACCGTGCAAGCAGCTGCTGAAGGGACAGCGACTGGTTCATGCGGCTGAGCTGCAAGGAGTGGTCCTCGTGGCCTGAACGGACTTGAGAGAAGTCCTGGAAGTCGACGTTGCTGATTTCCATATCGTAGTGGCGCGCGATACCTTCAATGAGGATCTTCGCGTTCTTTACGTTCGTCACCAAGGGTGTCTGGTAGTCGACTGCCATGCGACGGGTCTGGTATCCGCGACTCATGTAGTTGGCCGGTCGCCTGTAACGGTTGTTCGACGGAAGGTTGATGTACAAGTCGATCAAGTTGTTTGACAACATGCGAGTAAGCGAGTACTCTGGCTTCTGCTGGTCTTCGTTGCTGGGAAGCACTTCCAAGAACTTGACGGGGATGCCGTGCTCTTGAATGTAATCAGCGGTTCCGGCAGTAGCGAAAAGGTTGAAGCCCATCTTGTGCAGGTTCTCGATCGAGGGCAGCATTTCCAGCTTGTCCTTGAACGATCCAATAGACAACAGGATGTTCTTGTTCGGCAACCTGAATCCGGTCGCAATGAGTCCCTTGATGTAGGCCTCGTACTTGGTACGGCCAAAGCAGGCAACCTCACCAGTGGAGGCCATCTCAACACCAAGAACAGGGTCGGCTCCGGACAGACGGGAGAAAGAGAACTGAGGCACTTTCACGCCGACGTAGTCTTTTGGAATATTGACCGGCGGATACGCGGTAACAGGTAGGCCGGCCATCGCCTTAGTAGCCATCTCGATGAGATCCACACCCATAACCTTGGAGACGAAGGGGAAGGAGCGCGATGCTCGGACATTGCACTCGATGACCTTGATCTCATTGTCCTTTGCGATGAACTGGATGTTGTAAGGTCCGGTGATGTTGAGTGCGCTTCCGATCTTCCTGGTTGCCTCCTCGATCTGCTTTACGGTGACCGGGTCAAGATCCTGCGGAGGTAGGATGAGCGTAGCATCTCCGGAGTGAACACCAGCATTCTCAACGTGCTCAGAGATGAAGTGCCCGACCATGGTACCGTTCAGAGCAACAGCGTCCATTTCAATCTCCTTGGCATTCTCAATATACTTGGTGATCACGACTGGGTGATCACGAGAAACCTCGGCTGCCTGCTGCAAGAATTGGGCGAGTCCATCCCTGGAGTACACAGTGTTCATCGCTGCTCCAGACAGAACGTATGATGGTCGGACAAGCACTGGGTATGACACCTTGTCGCAGAACTCGGTGGCCTCCTCAATGCTTGTAAGCTCTTTCCAAGCCGGCTGGTCGACGTTGATGCGGTCAAGCATACGAGAGAACTTGTAGCGGTTCTCGGCGGTGTCAATCATTTCGGGAGACGTTCCAAGAATCTTGACGTTCAGACGGTGCAGAGGCAGGGCAATGTTGTTCGGGGTTTGACCGCCCATGGAGATAATGACACCGCTGGAGTTCTCCATCGTGTAGATATCCAAGACCGTCTCGAGCGAGATGTTCTCAAAGTAGAGACGATCAGCTTCGTCGTAATCAGTGGAGACCTAGTTGAAGTCAGTAAAGTCATTTTGAAAATTCGAGTGCAGTCTGCCTCTGCAATGCCTAGCCTGAGGGAACGCAAGGGGCCATGGCATTTGGTAAAACGATTTGGATGGCTGCAAATAAGGAAGGGGATAGACATACGGTTTCCGGGTTATAATTGACCATTACAGTCTTGTATCCTTGTTCGCGAAGAGTGCGGATCGCTCTGACAGAGCACCAATCGAACTCGACCGAAGACCCAATGCGATATACGCCGGATCCCAGCACCATAACACCCTGGTCGTTGAACTTAATGTCGCTCTCAGTGCCGTTGTACGTCAAATAAAGATAGTTCGTATGGGCCGGGAACTCAGCAGCCACAGTGTCGATCTGCTTGACAACGGGGACGATGCCAGCATCGACTCGGGTGCGGCGCACAGCCAGCTCATTGGTCTCCCAGAACTTGGCCAATTGGCGATCAGAATAACCCAGTTCTTTGGCACGTCGGATGAGGGGCTTGGTGATGCTGGATGTGTTGTAGCCAGACATGAGCTTCTCAAAGTTGCTCAGGCCCTTGAGGCGGCTCAGGAACCACTTGTCGATGTTGGTCATTTCCCAGATCTTGTCGACGGTGTAGCCAGCCTTCATCGCGTTGGCGATGGCGAACAGACGCTGATCGGAGGGAGTCTGGAGCTCCTGGTCGATGCCCATCAAGGCAGCAGTCTCGTTGAAGCCGAGATTATGTGGGTCGATGGAACGAATAGCTTTCTGAATCGCTTCTTCGAAGGTTCGACCGATGCTCATGACCTCGCCCACACTCTTCATGGAGGATCCAAGGAGTGTAGAGACGCGCATGAACTTCTTCAGGTCCCATCGTGGGATCTTGACCACGACATAGTCGAGCGATGGCTCGAAACAAGCGCATGTAGACTTGGTGACCGAGTTTTGAACCTCATTAAGCGGGATGTTCAAGCCCAGCTTGGCTGCAACGAATGCCAGTGGGTAACCGGTGGCCTTGGAAGCGAGCGCAGAAGAGCGGGACAGACGAGCATTCACCTCGATGATGCAGTACTCGCGTGAGAATGGGTTCAGAGCATATTGGATGTTGCACTCTCCGACGACTCCGAGATGGCGGATGACGTTGACCGCGGTTGTTCGGAGCATGTTGTAGTCTTCATCCGAGAGTGTCTGTGATGGCGCCACAACAATGGAGTCTCCGGTGTGGATGCCCAATGGATCAAAGTTCTCCATGTTACAGACGGTGATACAGTTGTCGCGAGCATCACGGACCACTTCATATTCGACCTCTTTCCACCCCTTCATACTGCGCTCGATCAGGACTTGAGGACTTGCTGCGAATGCGACCTTGCAGAGGTCGAGGAGCTCTTGCTCGTTGTTCGCGAAACCGCTGCCGAGTCCACCCAGAGCATAGGCTGCTCGGACAATGACAGGGAAGCCAATGTCCTTGACAACTTCCATGGCCTCGTCGACAGAGCTTGCGGAAGCTGACTTGGCACATTTCTCACCAATGGACTCCATGCTGCGAGCGAAAAGCTCACGATCTTCAGTGGTGATGATGGTGTCGATGGGTGTACCGAGAACCTTCACGCCGAGACCCTCAAACTCGTCCTTGAGCTGGATACCGACTTGAAGGGCGGTCTGGCCACCGAAAGTGACGTAGATACCATCTGGTTGTTCCTTCTGAATGACCTTGCGTACGAAGTCGGCGGTGACTGGCAGGAAGTAAACCTTGTCGGCCAACCCCTTTGAGGTCTGAATGGTGGCGATGTTGGGGTTGATCAAGATGGTGTAGATTCCTTCCTCCTTCAGAGCCTTGATACACTGGCTTCCCGAGTAGTCAAACTCTCCAGCCTGGCCGATACTGAGGCCACCACTGCCGAGGACAAGCACTTTCTTGACGTTTACACGGGGAGACAAGCGCCGGTTCTCCTCAGCAGTGCCACCGGGGAACTCGACAGGTCGCGAGAGTACAGCAGGGTCGGCGATAGACTTCTGGATGGTGCTGATGAAGACATCAAAGAGGTACTCGGTATCCCGCGGACCAGGGGTGTGCTCCGGGTGGAATTGGACACTGAAGTAGGGCTTCGAGGTGTGCCGGATACCCTCGTTGCTGCCATCGTTTGCGTTGACGAACAGCTCTTCCCAGCCATTGGGAAGGGTCTTAGAATCGACTGCGTAACCGTGGTTCTGCGATGTGATGTGGCATCGACCGGACAGCATGCTGGTGCAAGGAATGTTGTGTCCACGGTTGCCGAACTTCATCTTAACCGTCTCGGCGCCGGCAGCTCTGGCAAGGAGTTGGTGACCCAAGCAAATACCGAAGATGGGTGTTCTGGCTTCTGCCATCGCAGTCTTGATGTGCTCGATTGTGTCCTTCATCATAGCTGGGTCACCCGGGCCGTTGGAAAGAAACAGTCCATCGTACTCCTTGCCTGCAAGCTTGGGGAAGTCGTAGTCCCATGGCACGACCTCCACCTCGACGCCTCTCTTCAGAAGGCATCGAAGCTGATTGTACTTCAAACCAATATCAACGCAGACTACACGAACAGGGCGTCCCGAGGGATGTTTAAGGGCGGTGGAAGGTTCGGGAGAGTAGAGTTTGGGTTTGCTGGTTGACACTGCCAGGCTGTTTAGCATACATCACTGCAAGGGGCACATGAAGGTTACCTTCTGCAACCAGGTTCTTCTTATTAGGATCTAGCCATTCAACCTTTGCGAAGTCGGCGCTCCAGTCGACCTCGTCAACTCCGTCCGCAAGCGCCTGAGTGTTGACTGTGCCGTTGGTCAGGGCCGTCGATATGGGCGATGGCTGAGTCCTCTGCAGGAGGCGACCAAGCATGCTTCCCTCGTCGCGGATGCGCTTGGTGAGTGCTCGCGTGTCCACGCCCGTAATAGCAGGCACACCTTGCTCTTTCAGCCAGGCCCCCAGTGAGGAAGTCGCGAGGTGGTGTGAGTATTCCTCTCCGGCATATGTGGCCACGACCAAACCTGCAATGTGGATTTCGCGCGCCTCGAAGTAGGCGGGCAGGTCCTTGAGCAGGCTGTCCATCTCGTCTCGCGAGGGCACACCGTAGTTGCCCACCAGCGGGAAGGTTATGACGAGGATCTGGCCGCGGTACGAGGGGTCAGTGATGGACTCCGGATAGCCCACCATGCCGGTCTGGAAGACGAGCTCTCCCGCAATGCTCTTGTCAGCTCCGAAGCTCTGGCCGAAGCAGACATAGCCGTCCTGCAGCTCGAGGGCCATGTCCTGGCCCGCATCCCGGTCGTAGGCCATGTTTGCAGAAATGATAGACAGCTCGAGGGCTCCGGTAGCCTTGAGGGTCGAGTCTGTCAGGCAATTGCTGAGGAGAGAGGAAATTTGGAGGAGGGCCGGCCGCTAATATTTACAATCGGCGGTCGAACTTTTTTTCATTTTCACCTGCGTCGGAACGGCTTGGTGGGGCGCGTTAGCGGGGTCAACGTCATTGTCATTGGGCGGCCCCTCCAAAACCATCACTTCACGGCGATGCAGCCTCAGGATCTGCGCCGATTCCGCTGCTCAGCTTCCAAGAATCGTCGAGCGCATCCTGGAGCTTACTGCAGCCGCCCCGGTACGTGCAGCAGATGCGGTGAACGAAGTGCCTTCCATTCACTGTGTGCATTCCTCCCTCGCGCCTTCCGTCTCGTCAGGTCAGTGCAGGTACGGCGCAGGTCACGACGACACCGCTTAGGATCGGCAAACCTTGACGACCGGACGCATGTGATATGTAGATAGCTGTAGTAAGCATCGTCATTCTGTGAAATCCTTCAGCAGGACACAAATGGGTAAGCCTGTACATGAGTTGTGCACAGCAGCCCGGCTGGGTGGGATCCCTCTTGATCGGACGAGGGCAACACCACCATCTCGCCGTCGCCAATCGCACCCTTGAGCACGGCGACATTGGCCAACGACACAGGAGTGGGCATGGTCGTACACGGCCAGGTCTCAAGCCTCTCGGAACCCTCTGCGGTGCGGCGACGCCAGTGCCATATCTATCAGTGGTCGCCTGACGCGCGGGAATGGACGACATGCTTGCAGGACAGGGCCAACAGTTCCGCCTTCAGGGCGCTGGTGAGATGTTGTCGGTGAGGGCATCTCGTGCGTCCTCCCGTGGCCACCAGTGACGCGCAGTGAGTGAGGCATGCGAAAGCGTATGGACATGATGCTCCGTATGCGTACCGCGAGCTGCTCCAACACCAGACCCAGTTTGCTACAGACGTCAACTTGACGGCGGTGCACACATGCATCCATCACGGCCCTAGTGCGGCGCACTCCCTGCCCGCGATGCGTCTCATGGTGCAGTAGTCGCGTTCGCCAACGCGAGGGCGTGGAGAGGGACGACGCTCTATTGGACGGCCCCAGGTCGTCGAGCTTCCCCACGATCTCTCTTATCAGCATACGGCCTGTCTACTTCCTCATGGTGATCACGCTCCGCCGCCATGCCTTTGAGAGCGGTGAAGGCGCGAGTAGGGCAGGTAGCACGGCCGTTGGCGTGCGTTATCGACTTGGTTCATTTCCGCCCTCGTGAAACTTGATCCACCGCCCTCTCCCACTCCACCAGACTCCCACCCGCGCGCCGACGACGGACGCTGCACACGAAGAGGCCCACCAGGCGGGATCCCATGTTCGCATCACTTTTGCGCACGCGCAAAGATGCCGACCCTGAGACCACGCCCCTGCTGCAAGCCTTGAGCAGGTACCGCAGCCGCGATGCAGACGCCCGCAGCGCCGACGACGAGGACGCGGCTCACTACGATGCTGGCGACGAGGACTACGAGGACGAAGACCAGGGACGCAGAGACGGCCCCCTACTGCCCGTCTTCTCCTCCGAGGTCCTGGGTATGTCGCCTGCCGCGTCTAGAGTATAAATGTTTGTTTACGCTAACCCTGACCCGCAGACCGCATCCCCATCTACAACACGACCCATAGCATACGCATACTCGTGATCCAGCGATGCGAGACCACCCTCTCCTGGGACCAGCTGCGCTCCCCGCAGGTCTCGCAGTTCCTGGTCAAGCCCATCCAGCAGACGATCCTCTCATCCCACTTCTCGCGTGGCGCCATATACTGCCTGTTGACCAACTGTCTGCAGTTTCGAAAAGAGGCAGAGGCAAGCCCCGGAAATATTGGCGTTAATAAATCGAGGGCGCTCATTTGCGAGCTGTTGGCTGTGCGACTACTGAAGGAACACTCGACACGAGAGCTTATTGATGCCCTCAGCTACGACTTCAACCCGCTACAAGGTCTCGTTTCGCCTGGCGCTGGTACAGCGACTCCTGGTGGGAACTGGGCAAATCGTTCAGCCCGCGTCTCGACCATTGAGATAGCCATCCGAGCTCAGGCGAAGAAGTTCCTCGCACACCCGCTTGTGGTACAGCAACTCGAGGCTATCTGGGCAGGCACCATCGTCTTCCATTCGGTGGCAGACAGCCTCCATAGAAAGCCGGAGCCACTTACTCGCCAGTACCGCACGTTCGATGAGACTCCACGACCAGGTCCATCCCGCCGCCTGTCCCCAACGAAGCCGAATGTACGACGACAAGAGCAATTTGCCGACCTGACGAGAAAGACTGTAACTTTGTACGATCCCCATGATGCGTCGCTGTTCAAGCTCTCTCGGCTCCGTGTACCTCGGTACCGAAACTTGTTCTCGACACTTTCCTATGGGATAATGCTTGGGTTGTTCCTGGCTGTGCTCGCAGAGAAATCCGATGATATCACAGCGTTGGAAGTACTGTTCTGGATATGGAGCGCGGGCTACATGCTCGATGAGGTTGTTGGCTTCTCGGAGCAGGGCTTTGGACTGTACATCATGAGCGTTTGGAATGCCTTTGATCTAGGCATCCTGCTCATGTTCTTGCTATACTACGTGCTGCGGTTGCTCGGCATCCTCATGCCTGACGTCCACAGCAGGCACGATATGGCGGGGATCGCGTACGATGTTCTGGGTTCGACTGCGGTCTTGTTGTTTCCCCGGCTGTTCTCCGCCCTGGATCACTACCGCTATTTCTCCCAACTCCTCATAGCTTTCCGAGGAATGGCAATGGACTTGATCGCCATCCTCGTCCTTATTGTCATCAGTTGCTCGGGCTTCTTCGTCGCCTTTTCGCTGGCATTCCAGAAAGCATTATCTCCATCGGATACTGCTTACTCTCTGTTTCAGCTGCTAATGGGCTTCACTCCGGCCGCATGGGATATTTGGGTTGATGCCAACCTTTTGGGAAAGGCTCTCCTGGCACTCTTCCTCTTTATTTGTCACTTCCTCATTGTGACAATCCTTGTAACAGTGCTGACCAACTCCTTCATGGCAGTTGTACAAAATGCCCATGAGGAACACCAGTTCCTATTTGCCGTCAACACCATTTCTATGGTCAAATCGGACGCGCTGTTCTCCTACATTGCGCCCACAAACCTGGTGGGCTGGCTGCTGATCCCGCTCAAGTACTGTATGACGATCAAGAGTTTTGTTCGCATGAACCGCCTGGTGATCAAGATTACGCACATACCGATCTTATTTAGCATTTTCTGCTATGAGCGTATCCTTCTGTCAAACCTCTCATACGGCCCTACAGACCTTGTAGAGCAACGTGGTCGAAGTCACGCCCATGCCGCCGTCCCTGCCTTCAGTATCCGTGGTGCCGACCTCTTCAGCCCCGGTCAACGGCTGCGCGAACCTTCCATCACGACGTTTCACAAGGATCGTGCGCTAGAGGAGGTGTTTAGGCGGCCGTTCCGAGACCCCAGTCAACGCACTCCGTCAAACGCGTACCCGCTGGGACGAAGGAATTCCAGTAATGTGGTATCGGATTGGATGAAGCGAATGGGCAATGAAGTAAGTTACTAACGCCCCCTGTTGTTCGAGGATGGGCTCTACATCGGCTGAAAGGGCATGCTTAAACTATCGTGTTGACCCAGGAAACCTTTGAGCATCGGCTAACTTTGACTCAGGGCGGGGATGCTGTACCTCCTCAGGATGATGCGCGATCTCTTCTGGATCGCCTGGAGACGCGAAAGCGGCCGATCTTAAGGCGTTCCAAGACGGCTGGAGGAGCTCCTCAGCGACGCAGCAAATTCTCGCTTACAACATCGAGGACCGTTGCCTCTGACCCCGAAGACGAACCGAGTCCCTTCACGAGGCCTATTGTTGAAGAGGAAGAACCTGACGAACCGCAACAGACTGAGGATGATGGCGACGACGAACTGCTTACTCACGACGAGGATGAACACGTCTCTCAGCACACGACCAAGGACAACAAGGCGGCCAATAAGGAAAACAGACTCACAACGCCCAACAATGATGAGACTACGGATGATGATGAAGAATACTTCCGAACGCCTATGACTGTCAAGCCGCGCACACCCATGAGCCGTACACCTGCTAGAGCCACTTCTCCAATTTCAACCGTCAATCCACTGGTCGAGCTCTCACCTAGCAAGAAACATGCCCGCTACAAGCCTGGACACAACCGTAATCTTTCATCGAATACGGTCTTGTTCAGCCCTACGAAGGACAACCAGTCAGCCCGATCGCAGTCGAGCATATCCGACGTGCCTCCTCGCACAGCCAACCGAAGCGGCACCGCAACCCCTGGTCGCATGCCCCTAGAAGGTGCCCGTAATTCCGGCCGCAGCGGGACGACGACGCCGGGCCGTATGCCCATGGAGGGCCATCGACCACCCAGACGGCCCGCAACGAATGCTCCGCTGGCGTCTCGTCCCCGCCCAATCATGCCTCCTGCCCAGCTCAGTCGCCAGAACACAAACATCGCCAACTTCGTCTCTCTTAACCAGCGCCAACGCGAGCCCTCGTTCAATGCCATGGCCCTGGATTTGGCATCCGACATCGGCGACAACCGTCCGCAGGCTGGCGCTTTCAGCGGGTTCCCCGCGTCGTTCAATACGCAGATCGAGATGGCTGCCCGGGTCAAAGCGAAGGATAAGACGGGCAGCGGTGACGAGGAGTCGAAGCGGATGAGTAGGATTATGCTCGCGAGGATGACTACTGTGAGTGCCTTCCTTCCCTACTACCTTCTCAATAATTACGCGGAGAGAAATGCTAATTTTAACAGCTGGAGGAAGGTTTCAGAGACGTCCTGAAGGAAGTCAAAGGCTTGAAAAGGAGTAGTGTAGGCAGCGACGGGACGCGGAGTCCGCCGTCTGTACAGCCGTCTGTGCTTTCGAAGCAGAAGGGCAAGGGGAAGAAGAAGGTTGAGCGGAGGGACGAGGCGCAGGATCGGATTGGGTCGAGTTTGTAAAGGGGTTGGCCTGGTTTTGGACGTTGGTTTGGTCTGGTTCATCGCATCCTTTCTTTTTGGCGACTTTCACATGCATGGTAATCGGCGTTTTAGCGGCATCAGCATAGTCGTTGGGTTTGCGCGAGGACAAGATATCCTCTGGTACCGATGCGGCGTTTTCAGCTTGGGTTGGGGCTTCTGTGAATCCGAATCCCCTGTAGGATTAGGCGAGTGATAGTAATTCCAGGCATTAGTATTCGAACACCCACTATGGTCGCCGAGCGAGTCGAGTATACCTTGGGTATATATATATCCTCACCCGACGCGCAGATGCCACGGCGAGCGCGCGCGCTGCGTGACGTCGAGGTTGCGGTTGCGGTTCACTAGCTGCGACGAACTCGAGCGCTTCTACTTTGCAACAAACACTGTCCCGGAGCAATAAGCAAGACGCAGAACCACCGGGATGTCTAGCATAAGGTATTCAAACGCCGAGTAGGTGCTTTGTCTCTACGCGAGGGACGTCCACACGACGACGCTCTCGCCGTGCTCCGCTCCGCGAGATAAAGCCGCAACGCATCTGAAGAAGATAGACTGCCTGTGTCCTATGTAGTGCATCGAGTGAACTGGATGGTGTAGGGTTGTGTGGACGCGCATCTATGCCGTTTCATCTTATCCTCTGTGCAGAACAGCAGGGCATCGCTTCCATCTATCTCAATGAATATCACTTGAACATGTTAAGCAAAGGTCCTGTTGTGAAGTACTTCAGACGTCGGTGGCGGGTAGTCGGGGTGAAGGACTGCACAAGCCTAACCTACGGGAAAGGGAGGGAAGAAAAACTTGGCCGTTGAGGAATTGAAGGGGCGGTGGGAGGGCGACGCGGAAGTCGAGCTTTGTATACCATATACCGTAGGTAGTCTGAGAGGAAGATAGTGTAGCGGTGTTATCGTGGTAGAGGAGGGGATGGGATGGGATGGGATGGGATGGGATGGGATGGGATGGGATGGGATGGGATGGGATGGGATGGGATGGGATGGGATGGGATGGGATGGGATGGGACGGGGTTCGATTCTAGCTCTGATTTCGAGAGAGAATGTGGTGGCGGTGGGATGACTGGAGATGGCTAGAAGGGGTGGGCGCGAACGTAGAGAGGGCGAGGTCGGTTTGGAGGGGATGGGATGGTGTGGGTGTAGTGCTGTGTACGGATATTGTTTGAGCGAAGAGAAAAGGTGCAACTCTTAAAGGTGAGTGAGTGTATGCTTACGTGGGTGATAGTGGTGAAATCAAGTGCTTATGGCTCCCAAATGTGTCGCGTGATAGACTTCATAGGTCGGGCTCTCCGCGTCTCAACAATGCAGCTTCTTTACCGAAGCTTGGGTATTTAATGGTAGGTAAGTCTGTCGAAAGAATAGCCGATGCTGTCCTGGATAATGGACCGCATTGGTTTGTTGATGTTCTTAGTATAGGCAAGGTATGGGCGTTGTATACCTTCTACATGCACGAAAGTCCGCGTTGATACATTCGAGGATGAGGATTGTGTAAGGTGGCACCCACCTGAGAAGTGTGGACTATAGGCGGCGCATAATATTAGGAACATCATGTAAAGAGAGAAGACCGAGTATATTGAAACTTTTCAAACGAGGCAGAGTGACCTGGATTGAAGTACCATTAAAGTTTTTGAGGACTTGTCATGCAGGCTTACGAACTGATTGGCTTTTTTAGAAAGGCTGAAAGTGTAAACTGAATAAAAGTCTATAATGGGCTTTTCCTTCGTATGCCTAACAAACCACGAATCACGCTGTTTGAACTCCATATTTATAGTGGCCAGATATTAATATGCCTATCCAGTGAACATCGAAGGAAGATAACACTTCACAAATCATGTCTGTCGTCTGGTCTTGCGCAGGAATGATATCCTGGCTCAATGACCGGATTAGGCAACCTGGTTGTGCGTCTATGGACCAGAGCATTGACCGGTTTCACCTTTTGGGGTCCAACGTTTGAAACATTGCGCACTTCCTACCAATCGGCTTGCACTCTTCCTTCTGTCAGTCGCCCTTTCATTCCAGCTCAGCCTCGTTCACGATACTCCCACCATGATGTGCCTTCAGGCAGTGAGCTCTTATAATTGGGACACGAGAGCTATTTAGCCAATATGTTGCTTACTGCATGAGGATATCGGCTACTAGCTACAAAACCCTTCTCTACCGTGCCTGGGTGTGCAGGTGATGCTCAAACTCGAAAAGCGGCCGTGGTAGTTGCGGAATCGCTGTAAGTAAATCCTGCACAATCTTTGACTTGGTTTTCTATTATCAGATGCAGATTGATCTGTGCTGCATGGGATTTTATGGCTGTGTCGCGTAAGCCTAACCTAAACTAGGCTAGCCTACCCCCAGGCGTAGATATAATGTTCCAGGTGCAGTGTGTGGCCTCATCATATTCCTCGGCTGGAACACCTCGCTCGCAACATGTCAACTACCACTTTGGATCAAATCCCGCGAGAGCTGCGCAACATGATCTGGTTCGAGGCTGCTGCTGTTCAATGGCAACTGGCAAGTATCCATCTCCTTCCCCTCCATTGTTCATCGCATCGAGAGATTCGCTGACTTTAAAACAGTGAGTCAGACTGCTAGCTCTGCATACAATTGCATTGACTAGAATTGTACTAAACTTATCCTTCTTTTGTACTCTAGCATTGCTGAGGATTTGCATCATTTCGATAGAAGACCCGGGTTGGTGACACCAAAGGAACGTCGATGGATATCATGGCAGGAACGCCAGAAAAAAGCCCTCGCCGGCTACAATACTCCAGAACCTGGAATGTTTGTAGAGCCTCTCCGAGTGTATGTCCACCAGAGACCCTCGGGCGAGCTGCGTATCTGCGTCAACGAGCTTGGAGGGCTTGTCAATCGCTTCCCTATGGCAGCGGCTTGTGCCGAAGCGCGCGCAAATGCTATGGCCTACTGTGTCGAACAGGTCAAGCTTATCCATATATGTTATGTGTTTGATCCATATGACGAAGAAATTATACCAGGCGAGATCCCCAAGCCAGGACTCTTGATCCAGGAGCCTATTGTGCAGCCGAAAGCAGTCACGGTTAGCATCGGAGATTTGGTACCAGATGATGATGGTAAGGTAGCAGATCACGACAACTTTAATTCTGCAGAGCATCTTGTCGAAGTTGTCCGTCGCGTATTTGGCGCCGGCGTCGAGCGTATCGTCTTGAAAATATGGTGCCAATCGCACAAGGACTTCGGAGACATGTATTGGCCTCACACTGCACAAACACCGCGAGCTGATCTATTGTATGGTAGATCCCTTACTTACTATTTTGACCGCTGACTTGCACACAGCGAGATACCCTGGATTACCGAGCAGGATCAAGATCCAGACTTTGTTTTCATGACGCCTGACCGGACCATGCACGTAGGAGAACAACGGGATTCCCTTCCGTTGCACGATAGGGAACAACTCGCCTATCATCTTCTGAAGGTCCAAGAGCTCCTGGATGCAGCGAAGGAAGAGTTACCGCGACTTCGTGGTATCGAGCTTGACCTGCGTACAATCACTTGGGATTTTTCAGGTCCAACCCGCATCAAAGCGACTATCAAAGATGGTGCGTTGTGGGTTTTCTGGAGCGAGGTCAAGATTGGCGGGCACCATGACTTCGTCTGCGCTCCTGATCGTTTTCGCTCCTGACCTTCCACGTGCGCCCAGAGGGACGAATAGCGAACACAGCAGGAGACCCATCGAAGCATTTCCATAAAGCAGATCGAGATAATCAAGGTGGCTGGCTGCAGTGTTCGAAGGATTCGCAAGATAGCCTCCAACCTAAAACTGTTTGGCAAGACGATAATATGGTATGTACATAAATTGTCCACCTTTCGATCACGGCAGTTTCTTTACGTATATAGATCTTGAAGCGACATTCGAACCGGCTTCAGGTGTACAGGCTGATCGTGTGGAAAAGCTACAGCAAATCGAGTGCATCGCTGTGTAACTGTCCGTGATCTCGGGAATCCCTAGACCCCCCTGATCTCTGCATCGCACATGGCTCGTCGTCTAGCCCGATCTCGATCGTGGCCTTACTTTTCCTTGAAGATAACATCTTTCTTGCCATTCTCGAAATCGTATTGTATCCTCCAGAGAGCGGTGCCCCACCATTGACGTGCTTGTAAAAAACTTTCAGCGCTGGAAGGTTCGCACATGTTGTTCCAACGCAGATCTCTAGAGCCGTCAAGATCCACACGTACCAAGCATACCATGGCACATCGTATGTATTGGTAAATATGTAAGAAATGAAGTAGCTTCGGACAGCAGAGATGACCACGACTGCATAGCCAGAGGCGAAACAGGTATACAAAGCTATCTTCTCTTTGAAGGAAATATGGAGATTCCAACAAAGGATCGCCGGAAGGGTCGTTGCGATCAGATCCTGAATCGTACTAATTATGCCTGCTGAGAGTAGGTGTGCATGTTCATCATAGCATCTGTATGTAAGCCCGCCCAAGACTTTAGACCTATCGAGCTGATCCCAGAACGCCGAAAGGGGGCGGCAGGAGAAAAAGATCGCAAACAGATATCCGACAGTGAACAGCGCCACTGAGACGAGGCTGATCACTGTCGCGTTTCTGAAGATGTTGGAAATGGTCTTGAAGGCCATGCGCCTGTAAAAGAGGAGAACGGACATCTTGACGATACCGCTGCTGATCACGTACAGAAGCTCGAGTGCCCAAGTTATCTTGCGTTGCGATATGTATTCCGACGGCTTGCAGTCCCAAATATGGCGATTGAATAGTGTCTCGTTTGCTGACATATATTAGTATTCCACTGCTGGCAATTTAGTCCAGCTTACGTACCAAATGC